CCTATCCATAATTTATCCGACTGTGGTAAAACGGTGTGCTTGCCTTCTGGAAACTCAAAAATTTTTCGCCATCCAGTAGTCAACCGCTATCAGAAAAGTTCCGCTTACACAAACAACGTTAGCGATCAAATACGGTAGTAATGTTCTGCACTCGTCGTTTAATGCAACCCTTAGATTTCTTTCTGGAAGGTTTTTAAAACTTTCACGCCGTGTTTTCCTGTGAAGGACGTTTCTATGAGTTCATTGCCCTTGTAACAAAGCAACAAGGGGTTCTATTTTCATCCTCTGGCGTTTACAGAGTCAAAATATGAGCACCTATGTGCACAGTATGGCACCTCGTATTTCAGCAAGAAAAACTCTGGCATTTTCAAAGTCCACGAATATCTCGATTTCGTAAATTGCATAAATGCTTTGAATTTCAGCTGCTAAAGTCACCTGACACTTTCATCAATGAACGGGATAAAAGGACAGTTCACATTCTGAATTCGGTTTGATGTAATTGGTGAGGAGAATTCAAAATAGTATAACCCGTCCGCTGTTTACAGGAATCTTATAGTAGCAGGCGTCCTCGTGGCATTCTTTTGCGATTTGTGCCGTTGATATGTCTTCCAAGTCTTCTTCACTGCTGTTTCCCTAACAAGTGGTCTATGTAAATCATCGTAGCTGGTAGTAAAACCCCAACTGGTTGCATGCAGAACGCTGCGATCAGTCATAAACAGAATTGCACCACTTGTTTTGTTCATCAGCTACCACTATGCGTCTACGTTTATCTGCAAAGGTGAAACTGGAGAGTTTAAATTCCATAGATGGTTCATTCACGCATACTCTAGTCAAGTCACTAATTATCGATTCTTACGTAGCCCGATCAAACAAGTGCACTGAGTTTCACCTTGTTCCACATAACTGTAGGATTGCTTCAGTTGTCAGTTACCAGGTGGGCATCTTTCGTTTATTGAATGTATCGATGCTCTTTCTAGTAGCATACAACCCGTACAGCAAACTACAGTCGTATTTTTGGTAAATCTAGGAGTATTATAAATTGGGATAGTAAAATGACAAACGTAGAGCATAAAACGTGGTGATTTTGAATACTATTTTGCAAAGTCTGATTGTATCAGCCAGGGAAAAAAAGCTAACTTTTTACAGATATATGCTAACTGCAGACAATTTACTCAGCCCGATAATTTTTCCTTGTATTTATGTCACTGATCAGTGTCACAAAGTTGACCACACATCGTCCTTTTAGTTGTTCAGGGAGTTAGTGTATAAACTGTGCGTCTGAAGGCTAATAATTCCCAAGATATTCCGCTGTTTTCTTGGCAGTATATCAATTTTCTTATGCGATCACATTTGTTAGGTTCAGTCAGAGTAATACATGCCTTCTTTTTTAATGTGGCTATTTACTACTCAGTTGCTTTTGGTGGGATTTAGGCTTTAATTTATGCACACAACTTGCGCATGCTGGTTTCTGAATGAAATCATATTTAAAACTAAGCACAATCTAGTCGTACAACAAACTAGCTTGACTCCAATAAGATGGTGGGTAGAAGGTCGTGATTTACCTGCAACTTTCATTGAGTTTGACTTTTTCTGTTTTTACCGGAGTTACGGTGCTCGTGTTGTAGTTTGCAGTTGCAATTTTTTAGTGGTGACCTAATTTTTAACGAATCTGTCGGTGCACAGGTCACATGCTTTAAGTTCGGACGTGCGTCTACAAAACATTCCAGTGCCACAGTTTGCTTTGCCTGTGTGTTGTATGATTTTTAGCATATAGAAACTATGAACGTTAGTGTCCCTCATGGGTGAAAAAGAGTGACTTCAGTGTTTGATGCCATATCTAAAAAACAATCAGCCTGTGGTTGCATTCCATATGTTATTCGCAGTAACTTTGTGGATATCAGTACTAGTAGTGACCGTATTCTCTGTTATGGTGAATGATTCTGCCACCACACTTTATTCCTTCAAGGACAGGAAGTTGTGTACGCTAAAGATAGATGCTAAGCGCTATGATATATTATATTGTTTTGTATGCCACAGCTTCGTATTGCGAAGCAGGTTCAACTTGAATAGTAATTGCTCACTCCGCAAACGTTATACTTATGAGTATAGGGATGAACACTTTACTCGCTCTCGGGGTATGTAAGAACATTTCGCTGAATGTGTGAGGCGACCGGTGATCCTGGCTATTTTTGGTTTCCTTTAAATTATTTTAGTTTCCAACGCAGCTTTTCATCATTTACACTATACAGATAGTCATGCAACTGTGTATGCTACAAGCGTCGTGTAGAGGTGCTTGATGANTGTTCCAAATCCCACCATCTTTTGTAAATCACCATGTTTTTATCTTCTTGAAGTGCTTAGGTTCACAGAGTGACAACCTCCATTTGAAAGACATTGGCGCATGGTTTTATTATGAATAGGCTGCCATAATGCATAATGCCTTTTTTTGGGAGGCCATTCAGCTCCAAAATGTCCTCTCTCGAAACTAATTGATTTGGCGACCGTTTTGGTGTTTGCATGTGTATTGTCAATTCAATAAAAAACAAGCCGCAAGCATTTATTTCAGTCAAGGACTGAAAAACAATTCTCAGTCAGTACCCTACTCTTCCTTTATTCACGAGTTCGTCCTGAACAGTACACACGGTTTTTCAAAAAAACTTTTGGGAAACTCTATATTGTTCCCGCAGCATCGAGTAGTTAAATTTTGTTGGGGGCGTTTCCATTCTCAAAGATGCATTCGACTGTTTTTCCGCTCACTCCCCAACATCAGCTAGATTGACAAGTGGAATAATTAGTGCGTCGTTGACAAAAGCCTACGAATTGCAGATAGGATTTGGTGTGTGTTGAAATGATAAACCTTCGTATCTTGGTGGGTTACAAGTAATTTCTCTCCGAAATGACCCTACTCTTTGGGGCTAATTTTGGACAAGTTTTTCTGCAACTCTAATTCGGGACTTATTATTGTCTAGGGGATCTGAGTTGGAGCAGAGTCTACTCTTTAATTCGTTCGCCATCGTGACAGACAGCGTAGGCCCTGATTCTCTGTAAAACTGTATAGAGATCTCAGGACGATGACACAGAACATTCCCGAGCTGCATAAGATGCTGTCAGTACACACATACAGTTTTGAAGCATACTTTCAAACGGGTTTGAAATCTTCGACAAGTATATCCGTTTGCTTATTAATTTAGCTTTTATTGTAAACTCAAATAAATCTCTCGTCTACGAGATTCCTGGTGAGCCCCAAGAGGGAACGAAACCGATCATAAGCAGTCGATGAGTTTCCAGCAAACCTGTGAGTAGTTTCTTTTATGAGGTAGAATGTTCTGAAACAGAAGAGTATTAAACAGACAAACGAAATGCCAATCTTTCAGCTGCATCGCCATTTTGGTGTGTAGCTGCCATGTCATCCGCGTAAAGCATGGCGGATGAGATACTGTCAGGTTGCCAAAGCATAGACAGGAACAGACAAGATGCCGACGTTTACCTATCAGCTGAAAAGTTTTCACTTACCATTTATACCGGACCTTCAGTAAGTTTTCTGGATGATTCTCCCTCTAGCATCGTCTGTCATGAATGTCTTGGAGATTTTTGTCAATCCATAATGCAGTTAGATATAACGCACTCAAACGATCTCGTCAGGTCATTACTTTGAAATTTAAAGGATTTTTCATATCTGGGTATGCCATAACAAGAATGGTAACAAAAACTATTTCCAGAGCAAAGTTCTTTTAGAAGAAAAACACAGATGACGCCGCTTAACTCCCGAATCGGACGTCTAGACTGAGCAATTCATTAATGTGAGTCACAAGGTAAACAGATACTTCAGCGTCCTTTATCGAGAGTAAATACTGAAGATCATTTTGTGCGGCTCGGTAACAAAACCCTCTAGAGAAACCTCTTGGCTACCTCGAGTCCCCGTGACTACAAATAACTGATTGGACCAGCTTTGTAATCAACTTTCGATAGTGACCGCACGAAGACTAAACTTGCAGGGATTCTAATTATGCTACGTGGTGACCTTGAGACCCAGACGGTTTATTCACAGACAAACTAGCAGCTCAAGATTTGCAACGCAGAAATACTTTCACTAAATGATATGTTTACATTTTAGGCTAGCCAGGCGTCTGGGTGGATTTCTTCAGCGCATTTATCCACAGTGATTATTTTCCTGGGCAAATATATATATATTTTACTGTCAATTGTTCTCGAAGCTGACGAATGCGACATAAAAAGATTTGACGTTCTCGGGTAATACATTGTATCTAAAACTTGGGTGTAATAATGGCTGCATGGGCTTACTGTATCTTCCATGAAATCATTTGCTTGACACGTTTTGTGCAATTTAGGGACGTGTAGTGAGTCTACAAAATTTACGCCTCATGTGAAATGCCGAAAGAGCGTAAAAAAGCATCTACAACAACTTACGACCAACTGCGCTGTTTTCTTCGTGATTGGTACTATGTAAAAAAGCTTCTACAAAAACTTACGACCAACTGCGCTGTTTTCTTCGTGATTGGTACTAATCGGTCTTTGACCAAGTCTGAGAACTTGCATCTAAGGGCAATAGACAGACTGCGTTTGTGACAATCCTCTTTTTATACGTTTACGCTATTCCCAGGAATGGCATATTCCCACAAAAGCCCTACCTAACTAATTATCTGATCGAATCCTACTTATCACTTTACGCTGGTCACTGAATGGTACAGATTATGAGCAAAATATACTTTACCTGATGGAAACTCATGACCCATTCACGTTCAGCACTCCGCTATTCACCAAGTAGTTGGTAGGTGATCACTTTCTGAAGCATGGTTATCAGTACGGTTGTACCTATATTGAGACCCGTGTCTTCTTTACCGAGGGCTCGTTGCAAATGGCAGCATTACAGTGTCACGGTGACAATGCGTGCTAAAATTAACGTAGGACAACCAATGCTTTTCACAACCGTGTGTGCTTCCGGCTATTTTATTTTAACTTATCTCTCTCTGCAATAAAAGACCAATCCAGACTACCCACAACTGGTTTCCGTGACGATTCGCTTCCTCAGCAGCCTTGGTCTACTCGTTGCACACTGCTTTTCAGGCGTTGGAGATGATGCGTCAATCACTGGACACTATTCTCCGACAGAAGCGGTGGGCTTCACTTTATTACAGGACAAAGTATGTTCCTGAAACTTAATATGTACTGTGTTCCTCGATTAAACAGCGGCTTTCCAGATAAATGTGAAGACGAAAAATTGGGATCTGAATAAAGGCCATTGAAAACCGTCAAATAGTTTGACACCAAATGAATTCCCTAAGATTATGCAGACATTAGCAGTTCGCACATAGGATGTAGCGCAAAATGTTAGCTTTTTATGATGAAACCAACATGTGCCTATAGTTACGTATCAGGGGGTAGCCAATTAGTGTTAATAGTAATATTGGTAGTATCATTAGTACGTAATTATATTTTCGCCAGCAATAGAGCTGAGACTGATAGATTGATTTCAATGAACCATCAGCGTCTGCTTCAAAAGATGTATCAGTGGTAGCACGATTATGACACGAGTGAAACAGAGAGAGAAAAAAAGAATCGGGTGATATCGGACCGGAGAAGTCTGTGAGGGTTTAAAGAGGCACATGGCTTTTTGCACACATCAACTTCGCAATTTGGCAAGTGATTTTTGACCGCCCTGTAAAAACATGACGCTAAAGTTTAGGATTGTGTACGATAGGTGAAAGAAAGTGGTGGGGTTTGTTCGGGTTTGTGAGGCTTGTATATCACGAATGACTTCATCCACCTCAATAGTAAATGAATACAAGCCTACAATGCGAGTCTGAGATGCAACCTACTGAGAGGATTGGCGAAATATACTCATTTGCCCATCAGTTTGGTTTCGACGTGCGACTCACCTGGAACCCAGCTTAGTTTCTTGTCTATGATGTTTTTAGGAGTTTTCAGCAATCTTATGAGTGGTGGATATCGTCTACAGGAGAGATATTTTGCTTCTTGAGCCATCCGTGTTAATATGCCACCCAACCAACAAAGTTAGCATGAATATTTTTCCGAGGAGAGGTGGTTGTTGGTTCGAAATTTCTACCGTAAGGTGCAGCTGCCCTGAATCCTATTTATCGGAGTCTGAATCTTTATGTTTACCGAAGTTAATAAACTAGGTTATTGGTCGGGAACCTAAACAGTTAATGCTTATCTGGAAAGTCTCAGACGTACAAGGTAAAATGGCACACATCAAGTGAACTGGTGGGACTATCCAACTTTACCGTCTTCGGGTTATTGTGGACTTAGGCACGTTCTTCACTAATTCCAATGTATTGTTCACAGGTCTACAAACATTGGAACGGAGATGAGTTTCTCCAACCGGTTTAGCCTTTTCACAAAAACAATCTAGTGGCTACTGAACCGTGACTCGATAGCAAGGTTGTGTTTGCAGTGGTCGTATCTCTATTGGCAGATGCTTGAAATCTAGCAGATCCGAGACAACGTGTTCAGTGCGGTTGGAGTCTAATTTACCCTAATGCTGTTGCTTGCATCCATACCAGATTGTCGATTAACTGATAATCTAAACAGAAGTACGGAATATATTCCCCTTCATATGATTTATGCCTTTTCAGACGGATCTTTACTGCTTCTTGTTTCTAACTGTTAGAACTTTGTGACCTACTGAGTTGTGCTAAACTTTCTACTTCTACATACAGCCAATCTGTCCGGAAGAAAAGAGCTCTTTTCCGTTGAGGTTGACCTTCCTCTGGTTTACCAGGTAAGTCTCGCATTTATCTAATAGACCCCTCAGGATGAGCTTCTTGAACAGAACGTTCAGCGTTTGTCGTTTCTGCCCTTTCATCCATTGTTGGACCCTCTGTGCCTTATCTATTTTGGATGAGGCCTCTTGATGTTTTAGTGTGACAAATGAGAAATTCAGTGTTCACTTCTTACTCTAAATCAACTGACGTCAAATTGATGGACTTGAGTGGAATTGTGCGACAACTTTAAAAAAAATAATATTACCACCAAATTCACTATACACTCCATAACTTTTTTGTACCACACTTGAGTAAAGCAGGCGACAAATGTTGGCTTGCGCTCCAAAAGCGACGATTGTCCCACACTCTCACAGTAAATACATCCGGCTAAATGACGAACACTTTTAAGGTTTCTCTCATCTGAAGCTGAAATGAGTTGGTGCTTGGCGTTATGGCACATCTGGAAATGGTTCCTACTTCTTTTCTATACGCTCGTCCGTCTGCATCCTGTGCAGTTGAATTGTATCAGTAATTTGATGCTTATCCAAATGGTGCCACACTCTTGTCTAGCTAAATTAACACATTATTTCACATGGCTGCTTATTCTTTTACACCCAACTTGACAGCTCCATTATTGAAGGCTGTAAACGCCCCACTACTTTTGACGATTTATGGCGTCTGAATCCACGGTATATGAGCACCTACCTCATTGGACGTGCTGAACGTTTCTGGGATTCTCTGCTGGTTCAGAAACTAAAAAAGTAAGTACATTTTGTTCACCATATACTTGTGCATTGCTGAATGTAGAAGTTTGCGATTTATTCATATTGAACCATGTAAAACCAAATCATGGAGTAGTCGCTTTATCATAAATTCCGTCCGTTTGTGTCTAATGAAAACAATCATTTGGCTGATATTGTTCCCGTTTCTGAGTTGAATGAATGGTAAAATGACAGCTGCAATCCCCCCACACTATAAAGAACAGCGATCCGATTCTTGGGGAGAGGCATCAATGAAGAGCCATCCAACTGACAATCCAACGAGATGCGTGTAAACTAAATTATGTGTACTTAAGTGCAAAAAATATGATATGTACTCAAACTTCTGGTTTATTGCATATATTTTATTTACTTTACGCTCTTCTTTTCAACTTCCTAAACACTGCATTTCAACATCCTTCGATCTTGCCAGTCCATTTTATGGCTTGATCAAGAACTTGTCACTAGAACTACCTACGTTGTTTATTACTGGGACTAGTACAACATGAATGAAGCATCACGTATGCAACACGTCGTGAAGTGTTCCGGGGGGATTCTGAGGAGTGACATTCCGGTAAACCACGCCTCTGGATTATGCATCACCAGGCACTGTGTTGAGAAACCTGTACGGAAATGACATCACGACTGTTAGATTCCGTTGGCACTGTCTGGTTGGCTAGGTTCCACTCGTATTTTTGCCACCAATGATTTGGAACTAGAAGTGCTCACTCCTCCTTTACGTACAATGGACCGTAGATGATCTAAGTGCGGTGTTTCATACGATAATTGATCCTAACGAGATTTGGTATGGATTTTAATCGTATTTGGAGAAGAGAATATGTGAACATTTCGCTTCAGTCGTCAAATACTTGGCTGTGTGAATTTGCTTAATTCGATCACGTAATCAGCTCACCAGTTTTCCTAATTGATAACAAATTTTAGAGCATCTCAAGTTCGCTCTCTATTAACACAAAAAATGTTGATCTTTCGTGGCAGGGAATGGCCTCACATAAAAAAAGCTGTTTTGTCCCATGAAAATTTATTGTTTTGTTTTCCTAATTGGCAACATATTTTAGAGCACCTCAATTTCGCTCTCTATTAACACAAAAAATGTTTATCTTTCGTGGCAGGGAATGGCCTCACATCAAAAAAGGCTGTTTTGTCCCATGAAAATTTATTGTTTCAAATAGATGAGTCAAAACGGTCTGATGGTGAATAATAGGTCAAAAGTACCTGGCAGGGCTCAGTTATTGACCAGCAGGCGAAGGGGTTGCTTAGTGGAGAAAAGTTCTTCTTGAGAATCGGCCTTATCCGTCCAGTTGACCGACGCAACTCTGTGGTTTTGCCAATCAGTCAACTGCTGTTACTCAAAAGCCTCAAAGCATTTTGTGACTCAAGTTCTAGTCTCTAGAGGGAACTGAGGGACTATCTGGTATGGTGCTAATAGATAGTTAGATTCCCATATTGTTAATTTCGTTGGGGATTTCAACAATGCAATAGGACTGACTCTGCATATGAACGGAGGAAAATCTCGAGCCGTGTGGATGTAATACAGTACCATAAGTTACGAAAGTTGTTAAAGCAAACATACGGAGCCTTAGGCCTCCGATTTCCACGCGCTTCCAAAATACCCGGGGCAAGTGGTGCAGTAGAACCTAATTTGGTAATACAAAACAGTGGTTGCTCGCCAACCGGTTGTGAGACCAGTGGGATTTGGTTAAGTAGATGGTTATTACATGAATAAGGGCGATTCAATAAGTGATAATCTGACACTTGTCCAACTGGCGTTTTTTTAAGTTGAATTGTTTCTCTGTGACTTTCTACCACAGAATCATTGCAATCAACTGTCTTTGTATTTACGCAGTATTTGATTTTCCAAACTGGTGTCCTAATGTATTAAACAGAAGAATTTAGCGGATAATGACAACTTCGTAGAATTTTTACCATTTCCTCCCTAGACTTATGATGAAATTCTTGACGAGTGTGTGCAGAAAAAGAGAGGCATTAAATATCTTTTTTCAACTTGTTTGGAACAGCTGCTATTGCGAAAGTTACGGTATTTATATTCTCTATAAGACAAGGTGAAAATGTTAACTACGATCCGTAGGAAGCTATCTCGTTGCTTATGAGCTTCGCCTGCTGAGTTTTGAAGATGAGTTACGGTATCCACTACGGGGTTTTTCATCGCAAGACTACACAGGAGAACTGACATCGCCAGATCACCAGCACTGAAGTAATGACGCAATCAGAAGCGGTCTTCCGGTTGTTGGGTCTCAGTCGGTTACATCACTTACAGCTAATAAATTCAATTTGAGTCACTGGCAGAGATGAAAATTATCGACCTTTAGAAGTTGGGTAGGACTTGTGGATAATTTCTACAATGTGCAAGTTACCTTATTTTGCATATATTCCTCCTATTTTAATTGCTATTTTGGCTGACTACCAACATTTTCCAGACTCCACAAAGGACGCTATGAAAGACTCCCGGCAGCCGAAACAGATTTCCAGGTTCCTCCGAAAGGCTACCAACCATCTTTGTTTGCCACATTTGCTCGGACCTTTTGGAGGTTATTCTTGACAGGATTCATCATTCGTTTTGTTGGCGATGCACTTTCTTTCGCTCAACCGCTTGTAATCAGGTAAGACTTCAGATGCAGCAACGTGTTGGCTTAAACAAACGGATGTTCAAAAAAATATTTGTACCAACACATCCCAACGACAGGCTCGAAAGTATACATCGTTTAGGATGGATTCAGCGGCGTATGAATACCTACTAAGTAAACTACGTCAAACCACGCAGTACATAGGTTGAGTAACTAGGGAAATGATCCATCGGCGAGGCATTGAGGTCAAAGTTCCCGTGCAAACCCTGCGGATGCTCAGTCGAACTTATTCCTTCTGTCGGCATGTGATCCTTTTATCGTTGCAGTTCGGCAGAGGTAAACGCAGCTCACTGTTGTTTGATGCGAATGTTCATGATGGGTATCTGTCAAAAACCACTCGCAAAATACAATTTAAAGGAAGTATCTAGCTGCTGGTGGCTCTTGGGTCTCTGATGCAGGGTACAACTGAATGCGTAAGATACAGATTTGCAACTTGGAACAAAAAGAACCTCGGGGATTACAAAGCTAAATGAGTCAAATTTTCAATCTGTTTCACCACACGTGAATCAAATTCTTCGCATCGAAATAGAAGCACTGGAATAGGTTCGATATTATTTAAGTTGACGGTTTTTGAGCACATCTATCAGTATCTACTTCGTCGCCTGCTTATGATTCACGTCCGTTTGGGAGGCATTGGCGTAACAGGCTTTGTCGTAGTCACAGCTGGTGCAATGAATCGAAATTCAAGAGACTACTTTATTACACCACACAATGTCAGATTATAAATTCTTGACAAGACACATTTCTCTTAACGTTCCGGAATGTACTTAGAAAGTTTACCATCGGTTTCTCCCTTGACAAGATTCATCAGACAGACGTGGTTGAAGCATTTAAACAGTTCTATTACTAGTGATCCATCTAGAAAATATCATATGATATCTCGAATACCGTGATAACTAAGGTACGAGACCTCCCGTGGTTAGCGAAATCTGCTGAAGAGAATCATAAAGGAGAGCTATGCTCTAATATTTCATTAACACTGCAGAATGTATTACAAGCGTATTACAGGTGTATTTCACGCGTCTGATTATGATTGCAGTGTGAGTTGATACCGTTGCAAACTATGTAAGCTTTACGAGTAGATTCGTCTTTAGCGTTTGTTGTAAGTACTCATGCTTACCGTTGACATTATATTCTGATGTCACTAAAGTCCTTCATTATATAAAGGTCTTCCTCATTAGACGGCGATTCATTTTCCTGAAAACCACTCCTCTTGACTACAGTTGAACATGCCGTCGGTGTATCTGAAACATTGAAACCATAGACTCGCAGTTGGTCTAGCTGACTGTAAGATGAATGATGTAACCCAGTGTAGTTTATATTTGTAATGCACTACTCATAAGGTTGCTGAAAATACATCGACAGTCCACGACCGGTTTCGCCCTCCTTGGGGCTCATCAGGTAGGCGCAGTCCCCCGGGTTTCCGTCAACCTTATGTTCTACTTGAAACCAAATTGCACGAAATTAGCGAATATACACTCATCTGCAAACTAATTCGGTTCTTTCGAGAGACTCACCTGGAACCCAGCTGAATCTCTCGTTTATGATGTTCTTAGGCAACTGAATGTGCTGCACCAGGCCGCGTCTAATTAAAATAAGTAAAATTTATGCCGCTTATAATTTCACGTAAAAGTGTATGATTTTCAATACGGAAATAGAACCATTTGTCCATTGAAGTTGAATCACGGTCGCAGGATGGGGAAATCCGATGATTTTGCATCTAAGGTGCATTTGTCGCCAGCGCTGTAGGTATTCGTGTCAGCGTTTAAGACGAACTCCCAAGAAATCTGCTGGTGATTTTTTCCAAAAAAATATATTAGTATGTCTGCAAAATGCCATTGAACAGTGCTGTTTCCTGGACGATATATTGTTCGAATGTTATATGCATCGCTTGAACAAACATTATTAGGGAGACTTTCAAGTTGTTTCTTGTCGTTGTCTTAAAAAACTGACGCCGTTCGAGTCGACATTTTCTCCATCTTATTGAAATACCTCTATATTATATCAGACGCATTTACCGTAGACCTCTTATATAGAGAAGCAGTTTCTCTTGCATCAACTTCTTATTCCATATAAATGTGTGGTCGGTCATGCGGCTTGTGCAATACCATTGACCGACAAATTAATCGCAGGTAGATACGCCAATGAAAAAGGAAACATTGCATGCACGACAACGTTGATACTCTGGTGTTTATTGTTTAGATAGTGAAATACAGAAGTTGTAGGTGATAGGATTATCCCAAATAGTGCTTGCAGATTTTACCGGAAAAAATTGCAGCTTAATATGTGTTTTGCCGCCCTTTTGTTACATTCAAACACGCAAAATAGGCAATGAAAATACAGAGAACTTTTGGGTCATTTCGTAAACGAAGCAGACGAAATTCTACATCTCGGTAGTATTCCTCAGGTGCAGTGGGAGAAAATGGCTTTGATATGACAGTATATCCATTCGTCTGAGGCTTCCATTTCACTAGCAACCTATCTTCATGCTTCGATAAAAATATGATTTAACGTTTACATGGATTCGTGGAGTTGCTGAATTGAACAGTCGTTTTTTGCTTGAATGCCCTGTAGTGAACTGATCACGTTCGTGCAAATCAGCCAACCTGCAAACTTCAGCCAGAATCCAGATGAAACGGAGCCCACCTCGGTTGTGTATGAGTGGCATGGATACTTCTTCGCCGTTCTTCTTCCGCTGATTGGTTTTATTCGTACCATTCTGTTTCAACAGCAGTTTCACTACGCGTATGTTTTGGGGATGAATATGAGAGTGACGGCAGCGGGACTTGTATACCGGAAGGTAAGTTATATGAGAAATGAATAAAAGCTGTTGGTTGGGACATCTGTCCATATGTCATAAGGAGGTACGTACATCGAATAAATGCTGAAATAGAAATAAATCATGCTTGATGCAAACAAAAAATAGTCTTTACTTCAGAATGTATCATTCTTTTGTAGAGTGGTCCCCATAAGCTGTGATATGCGAATGATTTGAGGAGAATGGCTCGATACAGTATCGCTTAAGTTGCTTCGCACATTATGAAAGCAACCCCTGAATCTAAATACGGTCAACAAAAACTCAGCTCGATAAGAGAAAGCACAATGTATGATCGAACTTTGCTCCACTTTCTCTCCGCCCTTGAAATTCAGTGCCAGAGTAGTATACCAGTAAATTCATCGACAAGCTTGCGTTATCAACCACAGCAGACCGAATATGATATCCGGCTTTCCGCAAATAGGAATTTTGCAGTACGCGAATCACATGTTACGCAACATTTGAATAAATTAAATAATTGTGAACGTTGACGCAGAACTTGTAACACAGCTTGTCAATAATATGGCCGACAGAAATGAATATCATCCTACTACGTGTTATGTAAGTGAATTACCGGCCTGGACCTTTACGTGTACGCAACAGATTTCCTCAAACTTTGGGACTTTTTCGGATAAAAATGACCGTTAATTGGATTGTGAGTCATGATTTTTTACTGTCTAATTATTGTCTGGTGCGTAAATCACGATGACGCCTAAAATGAGTGCATAGTCTCCTTGAGGCCTTTTTTAGTGGACTGCACGGTGTCTGCTTTCCCTGCCCTTCGACATCATGCTGGCTCGAATTTAGGAAGACGTGTTACGGAAAGTTGTGCCTACAACTGCTTAGACATCGGTGGCGGCGCAAACAAATGAAGCATAAAACAGAAACCACGTAATTGAAACTTACTAGCTCAGATGCAGCATAGGTGGGAACACAAGATTTTCAATGGCAAAGTATTGCAAATTAAACTGGTCAAGACGGCACTTGTGAGGGCACTTATGAAACAGAATGAACCGGTACATTCGAATATATTTATTTATAGGATAAAAACAGTGTACGGATAGACCAGGCGACAGGAAAGTCATGTGAGAACCTGTGAGTCCTGTGAACCACTACTAGGAAACAAGTAACAATTTACGAAAAATTTACAACTGGTGGAAGCGATTAAAGGTAGTCAGCAGGCACCTACCGCGCCGAAAAACGCCACATTTTACGTGGACACCGTAGCGCGTGGTGTCACGGCGTATCACATGAAGAGTGGATACCCGGACAGGACGACTCTGGTCACGTTCTGAGTGGGGAGAATTTGGTCACGTGGATCATAGTCGATTGATAGGCTCACTGAAATTTCGTCACCTTTGATCCTTGGCAAGGTCGGAGAAGAATCATTCGTGGCTGTAACAGGCATAATGGACATACGCAAAGTCAGTACCTGGGAGAATTAGACAGTCACTGAATGGCCATCGTCGCGAATTCCCACACAAAGTCCCTGTTAGATAGAAAAAAGGAAAAGACCAAAAAATCAAACTTCGTATGAGTGGGCTGAGATAATTTCATTTTGAATCAATAAAACTCATCGGACAAAATTCAATGAGAATTCTAACAAACAAATGCTGTTGTCTTGCGAATTTTCGTGATTTTGGGCAAAAATATTTTTTTGCATCAGCCCCGAAAAAACAACGGTCATCTAAGCACCTGAGAATTTCTGTCAAGCTTGCAAGATTTTGGTGAAGTTCCATTAATAGGAATGGGACTACTCTAGTCGTACAAACATATGGTGTAAAAAGCGTAATTTGTGTTATAATCTTTCAAATAAAAGGAAAGTTCCTGTCAAAGCGAACACTTACGAAGGTCAAAACAATGATTTTTTGAAAATCTTTTCAGGAGTTTACATCGCTGCCAGGGGGCAGATCACATTGTTAACCTGCCTTCGCATAAATAGTTTAAAATCACAAACAGAGTGATCTGATAATGTCTTCGTCCTTGACGTGGGTTGTATTGTGTGCGCATAACCATTACAGAAGCTGAAAATATGGTTAGAAACTTTGAGGATATATGGTGTGAACCCGAGAAGCACTTGTGAAAAACTAAGGTTTGATAGTGATTACCAACATTAACTACCTAAATTTTAAAATCTTAACTTGTCAGAGATTAAAACCAGATATGCAATTTCGTGTCACTACAGAATGGAGTACTAGTTCCTCGAAGTCTTCCAGCCAGTGCGCTGATAACAATAACGCAGTTGCTTGTAAGATTTTCTCAAAACTATGGAATTGACGGAAAACCTCAACATCAAAGGCTCAGGGAGCATGTGCTCAGTTATTGTAGGCCCGTTGTTTGGTAACGTTTAGTTCGTAGGAAATGTAATCCCTCTGTTGGGTGAGACCAGTTATGCTTACGGAAATCAGCGTTTTATTTCTCATGTTTCCCGGCCATCATCTTCAGGGTCCCTGGTCTTGCGTTTTGCATCTCATTTAGACATAACACCTGGAATTATGAAAGAACCCAACTGAGACCTCTGACTCCGTAAGTGGGCTCACCATTCTATCCATATCTGGACAATAATATGCCGTTTGAGGATTGTCCGGGATCTCGCATAACCGTTCACATCGAACATTTTTACCGAGAGATGTTCTTGCTATATGGTATCTTGGAAAGGTATATTTTTTGTATGTCGTTTTGTGTGGCCCGAATCTCTTTTCCGTTTCACAGATATAGATCTATTTTAATTCTTCTACTTTTTTCCAGCAAGTTTAATTTTTTATACATAGAAGTTCAACAACCTTTCGTTTTGTCCACTAAGGCCGAAATATGGGGGTCGATACTGCAGCTCAACCAATGACGAACCAATGACGGTCCAACCACTATTGACGACTAAATATCAACTGCAACAATAACTTATCGATGGTAATAATTTTGGGTCTTTTCATGTTTTAGTGGACCACTTTCTAGTCTACGATACATTCAGGAGAAGCACCCTTGGAGGCGAGACCACTATACGCCATCGAACTGTCCACAAAGCAAATGATCAACAGTAATATTTACGCTGAGAACACAGAAAGACAAAGTTTTTGTACCAATCTGTTCCAAATTGCAAAACTGATACCAAAAGTCTCATTGAAATTGCATAAGGCATTTACGGTTTCTACTACACGGTGCTCGTTGGGGAGTCGGTATTTATCTTGGGAAAACGCACGGATTTATCACTGGAATTGCTGCAGGTGTAACGAGGTCGGAGATGTCACAAACATAAGGGATGTAGAACTGAAACAGCAATACAAGCAAGCAATTTTGATGTGTGGTTGTGCGGACGGGTGTGTCTATCTAGTAGCGGTCTCACAGGAAGGTCGTGTTTATAGACTACTAGTAAGCCACTATCCAAAGCCCTCGATTTGAGGATCAGTGGTTTTTATCTTTCAGTGTGAAATATTGGTTGCCTGTTCAAGCCTTAAACTTGTCATTTACCTGTGGTTGTGCTACAGCATCTGTTTGATGCACGACAATGAAACTAGGTTGTATGGCCAAAGAATCTACGCCTTCCATAGAAGTGACCTGAAGTGGATAGACATTGCTTGGAAACGATTCCACAGGCTTAGCCCCAAAGGAAGCATTCCGTGTTATTTTCCCGAAAAATCCCTCTATATGACCGTACATTTGAGCATGCCTAATAACTCTATTGTTAGAGCCTTCCGTAACCCCGTGCACAAAGCCACACTTTTACCCACACGAGCTTCAAAACTTCTGCACTCCGAATTTACCTGGCTAGTGGGTTTTTCCTAGACGGTTTAGGTTGGTAGCAGTTAGCTTTTGTTTGTGTTTATTAGGTCCCTGTTTTATTTCACTACAAGAATTTGGACGCTCGAAAAATTACTCTTCATGGAACTTGAAGATGTAATATCAAAAAGAAATTTTGATATGACACTATTTTGCAGTTGACGAAAATTCCTGGACAGCCTATTATAAGTTTCACCCTTTTTTGGGCCCAATACACCGGATGAATACCACTGCAAATTGACCTGATATTTGTTCAAGGCAAAGCACGTGGTGGAATATAGCAGTTATAAGCGGACTAATAAGAATTTATAGGTTAAAACGTACGTACAATGTAACCAATAGTCTTTTTCGCTTCCATCTCAGGCACTTCGTTTGTCCCAAAGTTCAAGACAAACGGCCACGGTTGGCGAAATTGTCAATCTTATGGCAATCGACTCACAACGATTGGAGGAGGCGGGTGTCATGATCCACATGGCTTGGTCAGCGCCACCCATAATTATGGTTTCTTTGATCATGGTTTACTTGCAAATGGGATGGTCCGCACTGGCTGGCTTCGGTCTAGCTGTACTTCTGATTCCCATTAATGTCGCGGTGGCCAGCAAGGCGAAAATGTACCAAGTAAGCTTTAAGTATTTTAAAGTAATCTTATCAGAAAAACCACTCGTGTTTAGTACCCCTCTGTTGAACCGCCACGGAACCTAGTGAATAGTATGCTCTTTAACAGTAACAAACGAATCATGAAATGATGAACGTTGGTGTGGCTAAGACCATCTACCAGCAGTGCTGTAAACCTCAGTAACCTTCACCTGAGCGAAACCACTTCCTGTTTCGGTGCTGAAATAGTCATAACCACGCTGCACCCTGAAATGTTTCTTATGCGCGTGTTAGAATCACCAACGAAATTTAGTAATCCGTGTCGAAGTTGGATGGACCGTATTCCTTTGCTATAAATAGACAAAATCGAATGTGACTGCAACTAAATTTCATGACCATTTGGTTTCCCAAACCACAACTAGCGTTTGGTATACTGTTCAGCGAAGACGTAAAGTTAGAAATCGTAGATTGTTATCGCCTGACGTGTTGCTTAACCAACCTGCGCTCGTTTAGAATGGACCACGTCGAATTCACTGCTGCTGATACCGTTCATAACAACTGTTCACAACAACGTTAACATAAAACATGACGCAAATGATCGTTTTACTGCACGAACCAGTGCGAAATCTGACAAGTATGTCAGACACAATCATCGGATTCCTCCATCCTGCGACCGTCATTCAACTTCAATGGACAAATGGTTCTCTTTCCGTATTGAAAATCATACACTTTTACGTGAAACTATAAGCGGCCTAAATTTTGCCTATTTTAATTAAACTACACTGAAACATGAGGCGGCCTGGTGCAGCACATTCAGTTGCCTAAGAACATCATAAACGAGAGATTCAGCTGGGTTCCAGGTGAGTCTCTCGAAAGAACCGAATTAGTTTGCAGATGAGTGTATATTCGCTAATTTCGTGCAATTTGGTTTCAAGTAGAACATAAGGTTGACGGAAACCCGGGGGACTGCGCCTACCTGATGAGCCCCAAGGAGGGCGAAACCGGTCGTGGACTGTCGATGTATTTTCAGCAACCTTATGAGTAGTACATTACAAACATACGGTCAGTTCATGGAAGTCAATTTAAGCTGACATGGTTTGTTTTGAATAGCGCGATGCCACCCGCGTGGTTCGTGGTATCTTCTGAAAAATTAACCTAATTCGGTTTTTTCGGAATCCGAACTCGGTGACGTCGTATGTTTGTTTTATTTCAACCGGAAGTATAACCAATGCCCCTCATGTTACCTCCATTGCGTTAAAGCGAACATGACACAATTTGGTCACGTGGAATGACGTTTATCACGTGAACTTAGTCTGTAGACGTACTTGGAGGTTTTACACCTAGCTTCCTACTCAGTAATAATTAAATTCATTTACATAAACGACTGCTTGTACAATGCAGTCCAACGTGAATACTTTACTCGTGACCAACAAAATCTTCAATTTCACCTAGAACGTGTTAGCATATTTCCCCGCTGTTTCGCGAATTATGCCCCCTGACATACTGTAGATAGAACTTCTCTGTTACATCCCAATTACTTTGTCAGATAGATGAAGTTGGCCGCGTGGCTGGTGTTGAAGTATTTGAACATGGAGTCGATTTCGTTAGTCTTAGTCGTTAGCTAGAGTTTAATAACCAAACAAAACAACATTGCTGAGCGGTGTTCTGTTTTACGCGATACAGCAGGTTGATCATCCTCCTCCTCCTCATCATCATCATCATTATCATCATCATTATCATCATCGTCATCATCGATGATCATAATCATCGGGCATTACTGACTTTCTGTGTCCACCACACTTCACGGTCGGCTCGCACGCTCACTTTCACTTGACTTCTGATGATTTATCAGATCAAGTTGTGTTCTGAGCTGCCTGGGATAGTTCTCGGAGATTTAATTAGTGCCATCGTTCAGTCTGGTATCCAGTGCTTGGGTGATCCTGGTGGTGCTATGGCACAGCCAAGATTCTCAGTACTATGCAAAGAGGTGGCGATCTCGTCCCATTATGATTGAGGGGAGCATTTGGAAGAGACTCTAGTAAGTTCGCCAACATCCGGATCTCAGTTGCCAATGATTTTTTCGCACCTAGGAAAACGTAGGGAGAAGCCATCCCGGACTAGCGCGTGGTCGAAATCCACAAATTTGTTTCAAGACGACCGGTAGTCAGTTACTGATCCGCACTATCGGTAACTGGTGGCGATGTGATCGATTTGAGTTTTGCGACCGGTACGCCGTTGGGGGACCCCATGTGGCCAGACGAATTCGGCTATTTCGGGAGTTAGTACTGCATAAAACAGCCCACGATCAGTGCACAGCAGAAGCAGTAGTTCACCATTGTCCGTACGTACCTATTCCAATCCATATTAACCTTCTAATGGAGTTTCAGATACGTCAAGCTTGCCAATTTCGCCTTCATATCTTCGAAAACCACCACAACTTCTGAGCTTTCGGCTCGCTGCAACGTGGCATTCAGGGCGTCAGGGCCGCTTTCAGTTGGGATGTAAACGGACACGATAAACAGACAGCGATCAATTTCTTCATTTGAGACTTTTTCACAGACGTTGCAAGATGAACCGCACAGAGACGACCATCAACAGGTATCTAGTCAAGCAAGGATGCTACTGCGAGGTGATTCAGGACGATACCAATCCATGCACATCCCATCGCTGCAGACTCTGGATCTCCAGAAGTGCGCAGCCGGAAGAGAGTGGAGACTGATGAGGCGGTTAACCCACTCATTTTGCTTGCATCTTGAACTCTTGTTTCTTAAACAGCACAAATCAGTGACAAGCGAGTCCAGTGTGAGAGCAACACCAGCTTGTTGCCCTGCTTGCTTCCAAGTGCGGACACTGAAGATGGTCAGATACACTGGGTGTCGAGGCCTGAAGATTGATTTTGAAATACTGGAGGATTTCGGCGCCATGTGGGGAGCAGATGTTGCATGCAAAACCGATGCGAGACGAACGGAGTCATCAATTTTAAGTTCTGGACCTACAAGGAGAGAGTTATTAATTAGGCGGGGAAAGGGGGTTGAAGAAGCATGTGAAAGTGGAAGAAGGTGGGCGTCAGTAATAACCCGTTTTCGCTTACCAGCCCTGCTTTTTGCAGCGTGTAAGGCGAACCGGCTGAAGGCACTACGCGACGGCCGATATGGCAATAGAGTGCTGTTAATTGTGTCATGGTTGTACTTGGTCTGGAATACTGTCAGAGCGCCCACACCTCGACAGGAGGACACCGTCATACCACTATAAGTTCCAGTCTTTTCCTGACGGACACAGCAGGTTCATGCTTTGGTTTCCATCCATGTCAAATGGCGGTGCAGTGGGAACGCGAGTTCTTAGACATGTGTTCGCTTGGTTCAATGCATTCCGATGGTTCCTCGTGTGAAGCAAAAAACACTTAAATCTCTTGACATCTAGATCCCCTCACGTTTGTTAACACATATTAGGACAGAAAGGCCAGCATCAAAGCGTTTATAGGTCAAGGTTACAGATATAAACGTTGTTAAAAAGGTCGTACAGAAACTAACATGGTATGTCCATCCCATGACGTAACACACACAGCGGCACATATTTGGGTTCTAAAGAACACCTTTTAACTGGTAAAGTGAGCATAAAGCACTAATTTGTACTTCCAGTGAAGAAGTTTCCTTCAACCCTCTTTGGATGGTCTGCTTGCCGTTCCTAACCTCACCAGATTGGCTGAAACATCTGTTCTGGTCTTTGTATGCAACTGATCCCCTTGACCTGTAAATACTTCTCTTTTAGAAGCGCAGCGTGATCTAAAAATCGAAAAATACAGCCAGCTGATTTTCTTAGAAATAAGAATGTAAACTATTGTGCAACAATAACTTCCTTTACTAGCACAGAAAACCAGGCATATTCTCCAGTTTGATTGTCAAAACGTGTTTGGGATTGTGAGCTTAGTATAGAGGAAGAGTAGTTTTTAAAATAATGACCAGAAAGGGTTCCATCAACCGAAGATGAGCTTTAGGGGTAATACTGTTTTCACTAAAAGTCAGACTAGACAGTTTTACGAAGCCATGGTTTTGCTTTTATAGAGATCTGAGAATTAGTTCTCTTCCTCCAGCAATGACCACTTGGTACCCTGGATGACATTTATATATGAATTCAGGGAACCACAGTCAGCCAGTTTTGATATTTTGCTTCAAATTCAATGAATGCCATGGTCCGTGATTTTAATGCCTGTCCACTGATTTATTTGGTTTGAACTATTCAGATACAGTTAATGATGGTCAAAGATGATCGCATCAAATTACTGAATCAGACTTTTGTTGGAATCAAAGTTCTCAAGATGTACGCCTGGGAACTGGCGTTTCAAGATCGAATAACAAAGCTGCGAGACAAAGAGGTCAACTTAATTCGAAAAATGGCTTATCTGCGCTCAGTGAATTCGGTCACTGCATTTTGTGCACCAATTCTCGTAAGTTCGAAGCTTTTGCCACTAGTGTGGTTTACCCATTATATCGAGAGTTTTGGTTCCGTTCGCCTTTAAAATTTAACGTATTTAATAAGCTTCTCACCTTCAAAATGAAAACGTTGATGTGAACGCAGTCCAGTTAACTATTTAAGCAGTTCTTCAACTGCGCATCGGCAGTAAACGGTGAAGTGTCAGTGGAGTCAAGATACATGTTCTAGGTTACTCGACATGGCATCAGCTTTGACTTCATTCCAAAATTTTCGTACTGAACTGCGCTTTCTCAACATTTTGGAGTAAAAAATTGGTGGATTCCATATGCCGCCTCTGTGAGATGAATTGTCCGCAATTTGACACCTCCAAACGGATAAGAATTTAGAACACATCAAGTGTGATTCATATAGAAAATATCTATCTAAAAGAATCGTAAAAAAGATTCTTCAAAGCTTCACGTGATCTTCATCTTGCTTTGGTTGCGGCTTTCTGAGATAGAACTGCTGACTGCCCCCAATTATGTTGATTTTGCTGGTTTTTTATTCAAACTATCCAGATGTCCGCTAAAACTTTCAAGTACCTTCGATTTTTTAATAGTTTAATCCTGGGCTCCTCTCCTTATCTCAGACTTATCTTTCTTCCAACTGCATGCTTCCGTCTACAAAAGCTGACATAATAATTCTTTACCGAAGCAATATTCTCTTGTGCCAATAATATTCGGAGAAATATTTTTCAAGAAGAAAGTCTCCCTTCAAGCTTTACGTCTATACTCTCCAACGGCTTATCAGTTTTTGTGTTTAAATTCATGTGTGGGTACACATCAAAGAGAACACTTGTCTTGAACGAGCCAACTGCCCAATTCTCTTTTGGAAACTTCTCATCTGAGACCAGCTTGAAAATCAGTTTCTAAGTATCTTTGCTGAGTTCTGTCACTTACACATAGGTCAAATGACCGAGGAACTAACAGACGATTTAATATCCTATGATCAACACCAGTTAGTTACTGTGCAAGTCTGTAGGCCCATCCATTTCTGATTAGTATGTTTGACGCTAGAAATAGCGCTTGAAACAATATTCGGACCCATTGAACGAATCGCACATTGAGAAGCATTATGCCAGTACGCCCAGCTAATAGAAACAATGGAACAATGTATGACCTTTGGCAAAATGTAAGGTACATAAACTATCCCGCTAGCATTGACAGTCTCCCTGAACAGTCAAATGATCACTCTGAATAAATATAAGGCCTCAACCTGACAAATTTGTTTGACCGTTTACTAACAACATGAGCAATGAAGTAAAGAAAGTGGCTTTGGATTTTCCACTGGATGTAAACTTCTTTGGACGTAACCTACGGGCTATGGTTGGCTCACAAAGAGACGTTTGGGCTCCCGAACGGTGATAATTCATGCACGTGAAAAACCCTTGGAACCGATTGAGTAGTCATCGTTTTCGAAAAAGTTTGGTGACAATCGGTAGATTTATTGCTGGGCAACGTTTCGCTTTTGACAGAAAAGCTTCGTCAGGCCAAGTGACTAGGTTCCGAGGTTGGTCGAGATCTAAGGCGGAAGGAGAACCGATCAGCTGAGTCGAGCTAAATCTCTGTTGGGTGCCGGCCGAGAGATTTTAGTGTGTTAGAGTGGTTGAACAAGTGTTGGGTCTGTGGGAGAAACTACATTTGCTTGGGTCCAGCCTAGGCTCTAATTCTTCTGGTTCGGTTCATTTGATGGTCCCTCTTGAACGTCGTTTGAACGTTCTGTCCGTCTGTGTGGATGAGCTAGTGCTAGATAGTTGTGTGTGACCTACAATCTCGACCAAACTCGGAACCTAGTCACTTGGCCTGACGAAGCTTTTCTGTCAAAAGCGAAACGTTGCCCAGCAATAAATCTACCGACTGTCACCAAACGTTTTCGAAAAAGGTTATCATTCATGTCTTGGATTCGCTGCTAACAGGTTAAACAAGCTGCACAGAAGACGGTAATGGTCGTTGGCTTGTTCGCCGAGCTGAGCAATTTGATTGCAAACGTTTCATCTCCAATCGAGGTGAAATCATCAGTGCGTTATTGGGAGCGTGGTGGTTAGCACAACCACTAACCTACCGCTACGCACCACTACGCTCCCCAGTAACCACCTATGATGTCACCTCAATTGATGATGAAACATTTGCAATCAAATTGCCCAGCCAACGACCATCTACACTAACTGAACCACCAACATTTTCCTCTATAGGAAAGACACAGAAGTCCCCTCAGGTTAATCATCATCTTTGTATTGGAACAATTGCGTAAACGGTCGATTTGATGTTTTGTTTTGTTTTGCCTACTTGAAAGCAATATTTGATTTGTGGAAATAGAGGTAATAACTGATGCCTCTTTAAGTAAAAATCTAAAGTGAAGGCTGCAACAATCCTTCGAAACGTTTTTAAGAATCGGCCACCAAGTTACCTCTAGTGAATTCTTTTCGGAAGAGTAGTAAATTATAAGAATACCAGTTTATAATTAATTCAACAAAATAAACTATTTTCAGTCGGAAAGTGTGGGTTTCATTGATCACCTGTGCCACTAAATAGCCAACTAAGAGCAAATGCTTGTTGTGAAACTCACTCTGAATTGAGTTGACGTTTCGTTTGCTTACTTGGTACCTGTAAAAGTCGGACAACACCCGCGAGCTGCTCACATAGTTCATCCGAATTTTTGCTAAAATTTTGCCTTTTAGCAATAATTAGTCTGTTTGTAGGCATGCACGTGATCTTGAAGAGTGAAACTGATTACTCAAATTTTCAGCTCACTTTCGGTCAAAGACGGTAAATGACTGTGTGGGAATAGTGGTCCAGCAAATTTCGTGGGCGCTGTCATTCATAGTCACATTTGTTTCTGAAGATCCTACATTTGGAAGATCTTCAGACATGTCGTTGATCACTTTAAGCTAACTGACACGGCAGGTTTGGTGAAAGCGTTGTGGCTTCCTACGTAAGAATTTGTTCTTGAGGCAAGGAATGAGGAAAGGCGTTTCATAGAATCAGAATAAAATTATGGGACTTTTGTCCATGTAGCCAAAACTCTTATCAGATGGTACGGAAGAATTCCTTGGGTGTTATTGCCACAAAATGTACAGAAGAGAGGAACAATGCATGAAAATAATTGCGATTAGTTCCTTACTGACTCCTGGTTCTCTGCGGTTGAAACGAGTTCAATGAAAACGTGCAATAAAGCATCCGAGAGTATCCATACCATGCTTGTCATAAGTTGGCCACGAGCAGGACCGCCATATGAATATTCACAAGAACCAATCATATTTTTACCTCCCTTAGTTTATATTCTGACAGATTCCCATATCCATACTTTCAAACGGTAACCTCTACTCTGATATACCAGACTTTTCCAACAGGCCTTTGGAAGTGATAGCCTTAAGTGAATACCCAGATTAGATCCATTTTACAATGGAAACCGCTGTAAAAATTAAAGCGAAGTTAAAGGCAATGTATGAGATAAGTAAAAAAAAACATATTCTGAGCCTTTAAAATACCCTGTGAATAATTTCACGTATGCTCCTTCTTTGGTATATATCAACACCGCTCTCACAAACAAGTAGTGCGATGGGCATATTCCCGCCACTTTAAGTGTTAACTGATACATTCACCACATACTACATCTGAAACTTTAGAGTATTGATATTTATACTAGCTTTACATAACTGGTGCATATTTGCACTTCAAATGAGTATTGCATGTGGTCCAGTGTCCTCAAAATCATTTTGAGTACAATGTGTCATTTGACCTTTGCTCTTTATGAATGCCGAGGAGCTCCTTACACAAATATGAATGTTTAGAAATCTTCGTGGAAATATTAGCTCCCTTCGAAAACCCAAGGTAAACTTAATTTGCTTGCACACAATTTCTCCTTTCTGTAGTGACACGTGGCTCTACCCTTTGTTCCAGATATCGTTGGCTACCTTTGGAGCATACGTTCTTTCGTCAGCGGACCATGTACTAGACGCCAGACAGGTGTTTGTTTCTCTCTCGTTGTTCAACATCATGGCCTTCCCGCTGGCCATGTTGCCCAATCTGGTAGCCGTAGTGGTTCAAGCCGTAATAGCTTTTAGGCGCATTCAAAAGTTTTTGCTGATGCCGGAACTCCAGTTTCAACAACGTGCACTCGAGTACACCGCTGCAGTCGAAAATCAACGCGATATTGAAGGTGGGCAACCGTATAAATCAACGTTTCTGTTTACGTCAGTATTACTGACAACTGTTCTGGTCTCTTCTGGTTGTTTAACCGTATGCGTTGTTGACTGTATAACGAATAATTTGCTAAGGACGAACATGAGAATCAGTAGACGAGATGTATTTGGCTATCTTTTTGGATGTCCCGCATTCATTCTTACTAAGAACAGTGTTAGAAACAAACAATACTGCGTACTGTTGTAAGAGCGCAGATTACTTTTGCGTAATGATATTGTACAGGGTACATATATTACAGGAAATCCTAGTCCCTTATATTCTTCCAAGAGCATGCTGTTAAAAAGAATATTGGATATCCTGAAGTCCACCAGGAGAAACTTTACTGCCGCAAGCAATCAAACCTACTGGGATGAAAAGCCGTTCTTTATTATTATTATTATTATTATTATTATTGCAGCTATCGCATAAGATGCCTTAGTTTATTGGGATGATATCGCAGTGGTGGCTGCAGTCAAGGACTGATGTAAGGCGTTAGAAAGTGATGAGCGTATACAAAATCAAGACAGGATAGAATATTTGACATTGCTGTCTAAAAGCGAAATAAATATATATTTTAGTCTCCCGTTTGTATAAGAAACGGTAGATTGTCCTGCTTTCAGTGTAATTTCTCCTTTCGCCAAATTTGGGCGTGCTTTTTTTCATATGTATGCAAGACCATGCCACAGAATAATTTATTTGTCAAATTTCTGTCTGTAAAACGAGAATCCTTTATTTTTGATTGATTATATCTTCCGGGCAATCATTTTAGCATGAACTCATTGTTCAAGAAACTCAACTTCGTTTCTTGGTACTGAGATAGTTTTTAAATTTTAAAGGGGATAATATCCTACCAGCCAAGCCACCGTACATCTAAGTATCAAAAGGCACTGCGCAGCTGCTTTTTCTTGGCGGAGGTTATCAGCAGTGCGCTTCGGTGAACTATAGAAAGATTCGGACCCGTAGTTCTTCGGCTAATAACAGGACGGTCAGCTCGAACGTGAACGGGATTTGTACCACCCATCCTTCGGTCACACAAGTCACAATACCTTGTTAAGAGTGTACCCATGCTATTTGGAATCTTTTTCATACACGAGCAGACTACTCACACTATGATGACAATGAGGATATTATGTAACTCCATGCATGTTTCGTCCTCCGTAGGAACTCAACACATTATGTAGTCCAGCCTGTGGCCTGACCATACTGGATCCGAAACTCCTTGCTGTATTGCGATGTCGTCATTGTCGTTAAGTAGCAAACTAATTGAGATGACCGCATATCGTCTCTCGCGTTGTCAAGTTAGAATGAAGGAAGAACAGAGAATATCAATAGGAAATATTCTTCTGATATCGGTCTTCATGACACCATATTTAGAATTTTCTTAAAATTCGAGCGACCGCCAAGGAGTTTGTTGGACTGCTTGAGGCTACCATCAACGCCAAGTAGCTTGACAGTGCCTTTTTAAGCTCAATGCGGTGATATCTTTCGTTAAAATTATTACCACTGACCAGTATTCACCAGTATTAGACACCGCTTAACCACCGCACCTCAGTAAGCAAGAATGCTCAGTGAAGCATCGAATGGAAAAATGTGGAGACGTAGTGCAAACAGTTATATTAACCTATAGAAAGTGGTCATCAGCGAGGTCCCTTTTCTTAAATTCGAGCGACCGCCAAGGAGTTTGTTGGACTGCTTGAGGCTACCATCAACGCCAAGTAGCTTGACAGTGCCTTTTTAAGCTCAATGCGGTGATATCTCTCGTTAAAATTATTACCACTGACCAGTATTCACCAGTATTAGACACCGCTTAACCACCGTACCTCAGTAAGCAAGAATGCTCAGTGAAGCATCGAATGGAAAAATGTGGAGACGTAGTGCAAACAGTTATATTAACCTATAGAAAGTGGTCATCAGCGAGGTCCCTACACCTCAAAACGGTTGTAAGATAAACGCCTCCAATCATTACCTCATAGTGGGACAATATTCGTGAGATCGACCCAATGTGGACCCCAACCAGAAAGGTACGGGAATCCCGAAACTTGACATCATATACTGATAGTAGCCGCCTTCATCTCGCGTTATCATGCTACGACCTGCTCCCTCATAAACTTTTCGCCAAAAAAGAGTCAATAGTGGACAAGTGCGGCTTATTGAGTAGACTTAGGTATCCACGAAAAACACGCCAGCGATCTAGACCCGATACTTTACTTGCTGCCTCGGCGATTGTGACTCCTCATAAAGTACCCACTTTATATCAAGCATGGTCAAATAAGCTCTGTTACACCGCAAAAGCACTGATGATCAAACGTTTGTATCGGTTCGATGTCTCCAGCTGGGACGGGCCAGATTCCACAGCCATATATCTGGACATCTCTTACGCTTACGTATACGCGGGTCTCCAGCCTCCATGAGATTTGTTTCTGGTGCCATAAATAATGCGTTTGTGAATGTTGCTTGTACCTTGATAATGCGCGATTATGTGACTTCTATCACGATACAGTTACAGATTATGAGGCGCTTCAGATAAGTGAATCGATTGGCAAACTCGAGGTTCTCTGCCTGACTTTTCACAGAAGCGAATGAAGACTCAAAAATCCCGAGGCGACAAGTAGAAGACTCACAGCGAAGCTGGAGCTACTATTTAGAACGATGAGTGTCAATCAATCAAACATCGTTGTCTGCATGGTCCAATTCAACCAGTCATGCTACCAAGCATCTCCATCACTTGAAATTTGAATTTCATTGTAATATTGAGGTTAACAGTGGTCACACTACTTGTAATATAATTTGTTGTGTACTCTTGAGCGACCACTGTGAGATAGGTGGCCCGATATTCCGGCTTATCTAATCACACCACGTTTAGAGTAACAATATGAGAATGATATGAGTTCCGTGGAGTGCGACGACATGAATTCCACCGTCGGCTGGTGCCACCTGCTTGAGGAATAGAAAGTATTGCACAGTAGCAGTATTGCAACACCTTTAAAAATTTCTCCTACAAATTTAAAAGGATCGGAGAGTCTTTTTAACTGTAAGGAGGATTCTCACTGTATAAAAATGCGAAATGATGAAACTGTTTTTCTTATGGGTTTTGCTAGCCTAGGGCAGGAGTATTGAAGTGTTTCGTTAAGTGCAGCTTTACGTAGTTTACATTATTTCGTATTACGTTTCGTGAGGTGCTGCGGATGTTTTTAGTGCAAGAAGAAGGTTCTTCCTCGGGGTTCCTCATGCAACTAGCAGATCCCTTTGTGTAATGATAAGTTCCTTCGTTCACGAACTGTATGATTATCTTTTTTAGGGAATTGAGGGTACTAATACATTGTTTTAGCTGCATCTCCCAATGCCCTTAACGGGAAAAAAGACACAGCGATACATGTTAGTTCCTGGTATTTTCATGAAACTAAATGTTTCCCTAGGAGGTGGTCAGTTAGCGTAGTAATAAATTAGCGCCTCGTATAACTGGAAGGCGTGGGGAAGAACAATTGGGTCATGCATTTTAACTGCATAAACCTAGTAAGGTGAGAATATGCACCATTGTAAAGCCTCCATGGAGTTTGAAACTTGATGTTTGATGACATAATCTAGAAAAGTACAATTTCCTGTTACCAGAACGAACTGTTAATTGCCAAAAATTTCGTCTTAACTACGGACTGATCGATTTTGATCAATTCTCACATTTTGCTTATATTTGTCGTCATCACATGTTCAGCCACCAGATTGCATCGTGCTGAGCCCCTATTGATTTATCATCGTTCCACTCTCACATGTGACTCCATTGGTCGTTGCATTTCGTTAGTTGTCTACCCGATCATGCATAACTGTTGTTTCCTATTGGTTATTCGGTGAAGAGCAAGTCCCAGCCAATTCCTGCCATTTTCCGATGTATATAACCGCATTATTTAGCGACAAAAAAGACCTGTTCCTGTGCTCGACTTTGGCTTCTTCCTTACGCAAGTTGACGGGTTACCTCCGGACGACACAACATTTCCCAAACATTGAAAGCATGTATGAATAACATTTCATGGTTGTTTATTTCCATTTATTGTCTTCAGTTTTCTTCTGTTCCTCTCGAGACGAGAAAATGCTATCAGTGTTTATTTTATGTCTAAACTGAAGCGATCTTCCACGATAGAATGAACTGACAACTACGACATCGAACACAGATTTGGTGGTTCTGTTTTGTGCCTTCTCATTCTGCCTACGCAATTTGGGTTGTAGATTGAGCTACCATGTAGTTTTCTCTCCCTGAGCATTTTTGAAGTAAATTACTCAGAACACTTCCGAAGACAAGTCTATATTCATTCCACGCCTTTAGGATCTTGCTTCATCCGTCCAAGTAATCTTGTTTTCCAGAACCGGCAATTTTTGTCTCCGAAGCGACATTCGGTTGGGACAGCGAAACCGTAATTTTCAACAAGTAAGCAGTCATCTTTGGATTTTTGGCTCTGCGATCAGTTATCATTACGCTCGCCAAACATAATAGTTATCAACTTTATCTCAAATAGTGTCCCTTGCTAAACCCTCTCCAGCATTACTCGAAATTTTAGGTAGGAGCACACCTTTTCACGCATTGCACCACATATTACACCGCTTGAGGCCAGGTGAATTCTTGGCATTTACCAAATTGCTGGATTAATGAGCGGCTCCCAATCACTTGCTTCGTCACATTGGAAAAACCATCCGGCTTCAGCGTCGCTGTGCAGCTCCACGAACTTATCTTTGGCCTAATGCTAACCGTTTTTTAGGGAGAAATTAAACCAACCCTTGTAGAAGACAGCTCTTGGCGTTTCTGATCGAGTTGATAAAATTAAAAACTAATGCGCGGATTAGCTTGTTTACCCATTTTGAAGCAAAACTGCAGAACTCATGACAAAAATCAACTTACGGATTGTTATTTACAAAGTGTACCAAATCCGGCACTTTTTCTTAACCCTGTGATTACGAAACTCGTCGACCACAATATCACCGCTAGCTACTCGCAGTATATTTTTCTCACTCATCCAAAATCGATGTCCAATATTTTCACCCAGTACGTAGTTGGATTGCTTCAACTGCTTCACTAAGAACGTCCATAGTTGTGAGTCGTAAGATCACATTTACCCAAAATCGGTTGTGGCGTGCGCGCGTATTACGCTAAGTACGGTGCAGCTTGCGCTAACTGCATCCTAAAGTGGCCTTACTGAGCGCCGTTTCTGGCTTCACAGTGAACACCAAACCGTCATATAGGATTAGGCTCTTTGCTATTATGTGGTATGCACCACGGATCTCAGTGAATACCTCCCATATAGTATGCCAGATTGTTAGCAGCACACTTGCCAAATTAGATGCTTTCCGTTGCTTATTCATCAGCTTCGTGTTTCTACGTCTCATCTCGGATAGTCCTTTACGGGATAACAGTACGTATCGTAGATGTGGTTCTTTGTTGAACTACATGTTGGACAATTATCTCACTAATGAATAATAGTCAGGAAGATGTGTCTGATTAAACATCAGCCTTTGAGGAAGATATGGTAACGGGACAAAAATTTCTAATTCATCTGGACAATTATCTCACTACTGAATAATGGTCAGGAAGATGTGTCTGATTGAAAATCAGCCTTTGAGAAAGATCTGGTAACGGGACAAAAATTTCTAATTCATCACCAGTAATTACAGCACAATGCGTGCGATGTTTAATGAGACAGAAAATGACGTTGGAAATAAGGGTACTGGTGCAACGGTGATACTACTTATGGGGGCATGCGAGTAGTATGTTTTCTCATAAACCCGCTTTGCGCCTCTTGAAAAGTGAGATCTATTACGGACTTTGTGGAGGCTCTTTGTAGCATTCGCTTGGATTTGAGCAACAGTCAATAAATATCCGGGAAAGTTCAGGAAGACGCGTTCAAAGAGAAGATGGATATTCAGTTTTTGTAAACAAGATGCATATGAGACTTTTACTTCCCTGTCCGATAGTCTGTAACTATTCAGCTGGCATTTTCTGGTAAATAACTCCGCAGCAAAAACCTTCTTCCTTTCATTGGCAGTTGTACATATGGAGGTGAAAAATATACAACCCTCTATATTTTTAATGGATATAAGTATTCTAAAAATTGGCGGATTTCTGGAAACCAGTATCCGTAAAGTCTAAATAGTACCTTGGTTCAAACGGTGTTCCAACAATCGGTTCCCAAATCCTTACAGTTAACACATAACTGTGTATTGTCTGCTTTGTCAAGTTTGAACATCAGCCTTTCGAAAGGGAGCTTCAATGTTATTATTGGAGCGGTCGGGGCTGGCAAATCGTCGCTGATATCCGCGATCTTGGGAGAATTGTATCGCTACCGAGGGATTGTCAGAACACATGTAAGTTTAGTCGTATTGTAACCTCATGAATGTCGTATTACTGTGAGGAAGCCGCTTGATTAACAATATGTTGCAACGTGTTTCGCGCTTTGATGGAACTTTATTGTTTGTACGTATCAGATTGGGTCGACGGAGCCCTCATCAAAACACCAAGAAATAACGTACACCAATCGCCAAATGACCACTCTTTAAATCTATAGTGTGCATTGAATTGGTCACTTGTTTTGGTGTAACACCCAATGACCAGTTTAGTTGTGGCCCAACAAAACTCTGCCCTTTTGCTTGCCTTAAATTACACATTGTAGAGCCCCAAACACCAGGTTAAACACTTAGTGGGTGATATCAGTGTAACCTTATTATCTGACTAGCCTCTAGATATAATGACACCACAACAAACTAATGACTGGCACAGTGTTTCTATTCACAATCGATCCTAGTATTTGTTGCGTGTGTCCTAATGCAATAAACCAGTCAAGATTGATTGGCACTCTTGGGTGATAGACTAGTTTACTTTTTTCGCAATGGACCGGCATATTGTACGTGGTTTCTAAGTGATGTCCAGTGAACAACCAAAGCATCTATTGTTCCTGCATAATGGCAAGATACGTCTGTAAAATCCACGGTCTCCCCGTCCGTTATCACTTTTCCGGCAGCATTTGTGAATGCAGTCGAATAAACGGAATTTCATTCTATATTCGAATGTCTAGGGGAATACTTGGGTTAGCTCGCAGTATCATTTGTTGAAGCATAATCTCATAGCACAGCTCACAATACGTGCATACTTCTCTTGGGATATTTGACATCGGAAATTTCCCCGAGCCTGGATCCAATATGATAATTAATTCGAATTCAAATTGTAATCGTAAAAATTTCGGAATAACAGTATCCCGTTGATAAACTGATTTCTCACAGTAGATTCATAACGAAAGAATTGTACTGGACCTATTCTAAAAGTGACCTCCGTCTGGAGTATGGCACTCTAATGTACTTTGTGCAAGCTATTCGTGCAAAAATAGGGTACAAACCGATGAGAGTATAAAGAACTGTAAGTCCTCCCCAGCTACGAGCGACTAAATAAGAAGAGCCCATATTTTGCTCACTTTGTCACCTTCTTACTATGAGACCCCTTACTGTTTCCGACTTGTAATAATGTAGAGTAATGAGCGTTCCTAAAATCATATTTTTATATGGCCTTCTTTGTAGGGCTCAATAGCTTATGTGCCTCAACAAGCCTGGTGTCTGAACACAACAGTGCAAGAGAACATTCTATTTGGTCAACTAATGGATCGCCCGTTTTACGAGAAAGTTCTACGATGCTGTTGCCTCACTGATGACTTGGAGCAGTTCCCGAATGGGGATCTCACGGAGATAGGAGAACGGGTGAGTGGCGGAAATTTCAGCCATTTCCTTGCATGTCGTCCAAATAATTACTACCACCTGGATGTTCACTTGTTTTATACAAGCGAGAGATGGAGAATCGTGGCAAGCTTATTGGACATAGATTTGTTGGCACCATCCGTTACTGGACAATGTGCATTGGGGTTTGCAAATAATGGTCACACTTTTGGGCGCATGTTTGCTACAAAACAACGGCGGACCTGATACTTTACTGACTCTTTAATACAGGCACTTTAGAGAACCACCGCTCTGAAGCCCGACTAAGGTTGTTTTTGGCGTTTTGGTGTTTAGCTCTGTACCCAAGTGGTCGAGAATTCAAGGGATATTGTCGGACGGTTATTGATTCCTAACTTAATCTCAACCGTTATAACTATAGTCAGAGCTTTCTACAAATTTATAGGCACGGTTCATGTCGAAGAGGATTGAAGAAATTGTCTTTGTTGCAGACTCACATGCTTCGTTCTTACTATACTGAAATTACATTCAAACTGTTTCATTTCATATAACTCTACTTAAATAGTCCACCGGTGGTCTGTTGATTAAGCCTTCCAAGAATGTACTGAATGCGTATTTGTCTTTTGTTTCTAAAGGGAATAAACCTTTCAGGTGGACAGAAACAGCGGATAAGCCTTGCTCGAGCAGTATACCAGAAAGCCGATATCTATCTCCTTGATGACCCTTTGTCTGCTGTTGACGCACATGTGGCAAACGCTCTTTTCAGTCAGGTGATTGGACCACAAGGTTTACTGAACCAGACTACGCGTCTTCTTGTCACCCACAGACTAATCAACTTGGCACAAGCTGATCAAATTTTTACAATTTGTCGATCCAGTATATCCAGAGTGGCGTTTGGAGACTTAGGAATTCGTCAGGACAGTCCTGCCTATCAGACAATCGAGTCGAGTGGCGATTCCGGTTTGGGTTTTGCCACCGAGAGTTATATTGGCGAAAGTGGAACTCTGGCGGAACTGATGGGACATAATGGACCATTTGCTGCGTACATGCGACAGTACCTTGCGGAGCATCAAGACGCCGGAGAAGGTGAGCCACTGGTGGGGACGTTAGATTGAGAGTTGTTTTTTATTCGACAGGTTATTATTTGATTGCAGATTACTTTCATTTGGTTACAACTTTTACGAGACTGAAAACGTTATGACTTCAATGACGGCCCATTGACCTGACCGGAGTTCCGTAATTTCAGTAAAGTTTGACTTATTGGAAGAAAGCTAGATTGATTTCATCCGCTTGATCATAGTGCCTTGTGGTTGAGCTGTAAATATCGGATGTGATGCCAAAATATCTCTAGGTATCTGAGGTTTTATCGGAAACATTCTTATTTGCCTTCGAAATTCACCATGGTAAGTGACAACAGTGGTTCACGAATCAGACACCACACACATATAATATAATATCTCACCAGTTTTGCCGGTTGTTCTCAAACTGAGAACTTTAAAATGTTTTTACCGGGCTCTCAACCATCTTTCATTCTTTATTACTTTCATTTCAAAACTACAGAACAAGAAATCCCTCAGAAACGATATGAAACCGATGAAAATGGAGATTTTGGAACGTGCTTGGTGCAGCCGGATCAACTTAGCTTGCACGACTGCGAAAGTTTGGCCGCCTCATCAGAATTCACTTCCCAACAAGATACAGAACTGAACAGATTGCTGTCAGGTCGGCTGGTTGTCCAAGAACACGAAGAAACCGGAAGGGTGTGTTTGATTACTATAGAAGTGCTGCAAAACATTTGTTTCATATACCTCCATCTGACCGCATAAAATTTACTTTTGAGTCTTTTGTACAATCCAAGTCAAACCTCTATCGCACCACTATGTAGTTCTGAGTTCCCTAATACTGTCATAGCAAGATTAAAACTTAACTCACTAGTTTCATGACTCGACTGTGGTTGTCCAAATTTAAGGCCTTGCCAGTTTAGCAAAATACACTCATATGCAAACCAATTTGGTTTTACGGGAGGCTCATCTGGAACCCAACTGAATCTTTCGTTTTTTATGAAACTTGAGGAGGCATTGTGCTTGAAAACATCGTAAACGAGAGATTCAGCTGGGTTGCCGATGAGTCTTCCGCAAAACCAAATTGGTTTTTAGATGAGTATATTTCGCTGATTTTGTGCAATTTGTGTACAAGGAGAACATAAGGTCGACGGAAACTCGGGAACTGCACGTACCTGCTGAGTTTCAAGAGAGGCGACACCGGTCGTGGGCTGTCTGAAAGTTTTTAGCAACCTTATGAGTAGGGTCCTACTATCTTTGATGAGACACAGCCCTGAGTAGAGTATACCAGCCATGATATCTTCCACGACCTAACCCGCTCCAGTGGACGACAATTTGACCAACTCCCAGTCCTGGGTCAAAGCGACTCTTATATGCATTTGAGAGTTCGTTTTGATTCACGCTCGTTGCCCTGTTATCAATGAAATCCCACGACATTTATTTAGTATTGTTTATTCACTAGACCACGGAATGTCCTTGAGATTATTCAAATCAGTCTAATATTGAACTTAGGTATCGTCTCGTGAGTGAAGTCAAGCTATGCTTGAAAGCAGAAAGCCGATGGTCACTGTACTGCTGTTTCATCCTTATTATGAATGCAGTGCACAGTTAACAGGGAATCTCAAGTTTTTGACCTTCAGACTGATAGTTTGACCAGTCAAACTTTTGATCACAAATGATTGGTCAGGAATGTGATTAACTCGCGAGTACACAGGATATAGTGCCATTCATTCTTCAATCATAGAATCGATATCATGTGACCAATTGTCGACTGACTCCTACAGTGACGTTTTCTCAAATGGAAGGTTCACCCATCGTGTGACATCCTTCCTCTGAGTTAATATTACATTGTTGGTAGTGTGAGGAGATTTGAAAACTTCCAGTCAAGTTTTCTTCCTGTAACTGAAGCCAGTCTCTGCTGATATATGCCAATCTATTTCGTGCATCAGTTTTCACTAACTCTGTTGGCCACCTATGTTACTCACCCAAATCTGCTCATTCAATAGTACCGCAAGTTTTCAATCATTTTGTTCATATTTGTGCTCCAACTCAAAGCCCCGCAATCACAATATCCCTGTTTACTCCCACATCAACCGCTGAGCAAGTTCACCAAGTAACAGCTGAATTTGGAAGGCTATTTGAACTTATATGATCTCATGTTCGAAGGAGGTGCTATCAGACGGTAACTGCTGAGGGAATAGGTTGAATGCACAAACACTAGCAAGCTGACCGGGTCATCTTTTATGTTCAGGGCTTCTGTAACTGTCAGCGGTCCACTCTTGGGCCCTCTGAATAAGTTACTCCTTTATCTGGAGTTAAAGCCACTGCAGTCCTGGTAAATATGCGATACATCCAGAAGCAATGTGAGCTGACGTATTTGATGTCCTTCATTCGGATATATAGCTGACCTCAAGTGATCAGTAACTACCACATTCAGGTTTTTGGTTATGAACGATAAATACTTATTGGAGACGCGGTTGTCCAAGTATTCCATAGCCAGCCTACTGTAGCGATGTCAATGTAGAACAATGTGTTCCCTTTGACAGCAACCGCCGTCAATAATTCAACTTAACCGCCTGAAAAAATCCACTATCTAATGGATGGGACGTACATGATGTTTCATGTGGTAAAAATGTATAACAGTGCAAATCCTTCGAAATCCATGATTGGTCGACAGTTATTCAGGAAAGAAAACCCTATCTCTTTTTAACAAGAAATCGAGTAGTTGATCCGTGTAGCCTTGCTTTGTTATTTGTGTTTTCCTCTAACTCGCTTTTACGGTATCGTGAAAGAAGTCAGGCAAGGCCGCGTTCACTAGAGTAGTGATCATAAGATGGGTGGGGTCAACAGCCCAAGGTTGCGATATCCGGGTACAACTACATGGTCCTGCCAAACTACCGTTACAACAAGTGTTATTTGTTTTTTACTTTTTTGTATCACTCGATTCCATTTGTCGGCGACCATTGAAGAGCTTACGTGCTACTGGCTGCTCATAATTTGTACCACTGAAACCACTTGAAATCCCTGTATGTTTAACAGACGTTGTGCACTATTGATACCGCAGTGATACGGACTGACGTGTATGTTGGATACAGAGTCGAAGGACATCGTAAATGGAGATAGCAGTCATTCATTTGTCAAGAAAGATTAGTTTGCACATGTTTTATCACAAACCCATGGAAGTTCAGCGGGAGGCACCTTGTTTACCCGATTAAAGCCATCGTACTGATTGTTTATCAAACACTTCAACCACAGGCTTGCATACGAAACTCATGTCAAAGTGGTGTCCGTAAAATCAGCCAAACTAGTACCACGGCCAGTCTCTATACCACAAACCTGGACCTCGCGACGTTGACACTGTTATGTTCATGAAACTGGACCTCGCGACGTTGACACTGTTATGTGGACGAAGAATAGATCGGGATCTTGGCCTCTGCTATAACCACACGCCCCATTTCAAGACAGTGGAAGGAAACTGACACCGTGATCCTCAGGATTCTGCCGGCAATAAATAGCGCTCGGTTTAAGGCAGATAGAATGATGACATAGTGTGGTTGCACAAATGGTGTTTTTGAGCTTAATTGAGAATACCGAGCCTTCAAATTGGACCCCATGTACTCGAAATGTGTGACCTGTTGGACTGGAGCTTGTGCATCAATCCTGCGTGCCTCTAACAATGGGTTTAGAATGGCAGTGAGATGTTTGGAGCCCTCAGTTACAACAACACAAAACTGAACATATTATTGCATACATTTGTTATCTTGACACACAAATACAGTACAGTAAGCAAACCATTGGCTGTGAGGTCGGTTGGAGGCCGTGACTTCATCTTGCATTATTAAAACACATTGGATTGGCTGAAGTCCACACCTATAAGAAATCAAGAGTCAGTCTCCGTCGGACATGGCATGCGAAATCCAGTCATGAGTACATTTGATCACCGCGATTCCAGCGCAATTGCCCAACTTATCAAGATAAGCAAAAATGGCAGCTGTTCTGATCGATGACCATCCAGAGGTATCTCCATATCTGCGAGTGTCAGACACTGGTGAGGAGTTCTGATCAGCTGAGCGTGGGTTAAAGGTTCCTTTTATAGACGGGACGGGGGCACCAGAGTATATGAATTACCTTCAAAAGAACTTCTGTGTTCTCCAAACAAGACCAGGAAAAAATTTACAACTTCGTTGCATGCCAGTGCAGTGAGTTGATCTTAGGTAATCAGCCTGTAGCATAAACCCATCTAATATTGAAAGAAGCTCGTATATGCAACGCTTTGAACATGAAGTTAACAAAACCGGAACCCCTAGGTACTTTCCAGCGTTTACGCCGACCATTTTCCTTATTTTCGATTTTGAAAATGGTGACAAACTCTGCTATTTTTGCTTCTCTGTCGAACTTGTATGAATCCAGTATGGGTTTGTTTGAGATAACCACCACAAACCACTAGCAGACATTTTATAGGCACGTGGATGCAAAATACGACCACTCCCGATTTCACAACAGCTTGGATTCAGCTGAACTGGACTTGAGTTTTATTTTTAGCCCTAAACCGCTTTTCCTATTCTCTTATTCCATTTGTAGATTGCATTTTCTGTCCTCAGTGCATATCGATCAGCCTATGGCAATCTCCCCACCCTTCTTACTGTGGTTTCCTATATTCTATTCATCGTATCTGTAATCGGAAGCAACGTATGGCTGAGCTATTGGTCCCAGTCCGGATCGAAAAGTGATTCAGAATCAGAGGACAAAGTTTGGGAACGCAATTACTATTTGGGCGTCTATGGTGCCATCGGCATCGCACAAAGTATGAAATTCTCCTTTTACGCTCTTCATCAGTTTGGAAATAATTTCTTCTGATAATTTTAACTCGTACGGTATTCTTCAGGTTTGTTAGTTTCCTCAATAGTCACGGTATTTAGAACACGTTGGCGAATTTCGCATGGCTGAGCGTGTGGGAAGAGCCAACAACAGAAGACCAACTGTGGATGTATCCTGAAGAACAGCTGCTGATCGACTCATGGCCGAGAAAAATCGATGAAGTTGATCAGCTTGTATTCTACATTTATCAGTGCTACATTCCGGACGGGGCTTTTCTTTTACAAAAGGCACGCTGTGGGTCAAAATATCACCAGTTATTCTCACTACTAACAGCCTGAATATGCCAAAAATATGTACTAGCATCTAACAACGCTGTCTTGGTTATAGGGGAGCTGATGAACAGCCACTGTTTTAAAATATGAACAAGAATTTGAGCGGCGTCCTTGAATGATCATTTAACCGAAATCCGAACTGCATGCTGACAAAGGTTTTTACAATATCACCGGAACGATTTGATGCACCTGAGCACTTTATTCATCTTTTCAAGCATTGTGGAGCAGGTGAAATCTTTGAGAACTTATTGCTTTGAACAAACCCATATGACTATCACGAATACTTCTAGACATAAACGTGATACCGAATTTCACAAGCCATATCGCTGCGAAAAATTAGAGCCTCACCCTAATGGAGTGGATGGGTTAGTGGACAATGGAGATCCTGACACATTTGTACACTACTGTTCATGAAAATAACGGAAGTAACTTTGATTGTGAAAAACCGATTGTCTGAGAAAATTGAGGCAGCTGGCAAAAAATTCACTTCGTGAAAAGTAGTTTCTGTGGTTGAATTAAGACCTTACATTTTTGTTTCATAATTCTTCCGGAACGGGATAGTATGCGGGAGATACCAGGCACCGAACTAACAAAAATTGTGGTCAGTGATGCAAATGATTTTCCATCCATTGATAGCATGAAATGAAACTTCCGGCTCCTTTGGACATTAACGTTAGTTTTATTTAGCCGTATGTATTGTCCGGTTAGATGCTGACTACCACCCGCAATATCTGACGTTCATCAAAATCGTTGTCTGGAGTTTGGGATCTAGGTTGAACCAACTATCCCCGGCATTCACCACTTTACAATCGCTGGCCATTTTGGTATCCAACAGTTCCAGTGTCTCTATATAGCTCAGTGGGCATTTTTCAGTGACGAGACTGACGCGCTCATAATATTCAAACCGAGACTGCTTGACGTTTAGAGATATATGGGTTTGTCCAGAAACTTTCTAATGGGCGTGTTCCGAGCCCAAGTGCACTCTATCACGTTGATCGGTGGAAACATTCGTCTAGGCTTGTGAACAGATGCTAGCATATTTATTCCTTTTGAAAAGCCAATCGACATTTCGGATTCTCTGACTGATGAGTGGCTACTCTTACTATGAGTATGGTCACCCTAATGCGTCTGATTAGAATTACGGACTGTATGGTATAAATTAGTAGTCAAAAATGACAGGCATCATTTTTGAGGATCTAGCTTTTGAGCAAAAATACAAAGTTTCCTGCTGTGACACCTCTTTTGGGTTATGGAAAGTGATCAGTTGGCGCATTCAAATCGGCTTATACCTAGGTAAGGAATGGTTAACGATTTCAGTAATTATGGACAAACTGCAGTGTAGTTTCAAACAAAATGCTTTGTCCCCAGGTCATTAGTTAATGCCTCAGCATAAGCCTACTTGCTTGCTTTAGCCTAGCTGTCCTTGCTGCTAGAATAGTATGAAGGATATCAAACCAGAAGAAAATTTCGTTTTGTTCGGCCCTCCTACACTGAAGATATAGTCAATATCTTCGGAAATCAGAAAACCGGGACAACATTTAGTTTGGTAGTTGACCACTTTAAGCCAGCTACGCTATTTAACTACCTAGTACACATTCTCTGTACGGATTATTGGGCTTGACAACGTAGCTAACCTTCCAGGGGACTAGTTGAGTGACACGTGGACATGACAGCAAACACTGAGACCCATCGAAGCACTTAGTAGTGACTTGTTCAACACTCTGGTGAACGCTAAGAACTGCAACAGTGGAGCTTGTAATTCTAACCCACTGGTCTGCTTCTTTAGATGAGCACCTAATAGATAAACGGATGTTCGTGCTCCACAACGTTGAAGCGCAGGCCATTCAGATCAGAAATGAACGGCCTTTTTGGAACTAGTTAGAGATATTTAGTTATATGATTGTAACATCTTTAATCGGTGGAATCATTCCATAACTTTTGGCCTATGAAAACTTTAGTAAGTTATTGTAAGTTTCTACAGTTTCTCCATAATCACAAACTGAACGGAAAATTAGTGGTTGTTAAGAGCAGTTAAATGGCAGTTATTGCAGAACACACAGAAAACAGGAGTGGTGAATTGTTTTTTCGCCCATAAATAAAAGTGCAGGGGCACGGGCAGTCCGGCACTTAATATGGTTCAACTCAGATTTTGCCTTATACCAGATCGGGAACAGCTTCGCGAAGAAGATTCTCAGCAGCTCCAAGAGATTTGAAGAATATGTTAGTCGTGGGTGGGTCAAACCATTCATAAATGTTTCGATTGTTTATTCTAACTTTGGCCGCCAATCCTCACATATGTACCGATGTTTACTATATCGTAGGCTTAAATTTCGACCGGAACCGACCGGGTGATTAAAACAAAGATCCGACAACTTAATTCACTATATTTGAATTATTGAACTATAATCAGGCCTCACATAATGTCCAGGTTTACCAAAGATGTGTTTCTGCATATTATCTAACGTGAATTTGGAAAAAGTAAATTTTAACACCTCATCAGGAAAAACGGAGTTCTTCTGGTAACTCACTCAAGGTACAGACAGTTTGGATCCACATTCTTTGCATTTTTGAGCAAACATGTCGTTGGATGTTGAATTGTTGCCAAAGTGCTCCGACGATCCAAACAGTTTCATGGTCAGTTTTTAGCTTTATTTGAATGACTGACTAGATACCATTTTATGGACATCGAGCGAAATCCATTCTTCCTTCACTGTATCCTACCCAACTTAGACAATGACTGTGCATGAGTGCAAAGCTGTTATTTATCATCAACTTTGCTTGCTCTCAAACCACTTTTTTTTGCTCTTTGTTCTGCAATCCTTCGCAGGCATTTTCACTCTGGTGAAGGTTTTGGCATTGGTTTATGGTTCAAGTAGAGCCTCCAAAGTGCTGCATCTGAAGTTACTCGAAAACATCCTGCGAGCTTCATGCACATTTTTTGATACGACCCCCAGTGGTCGTATTGTAAACAGGTGAGCGAATTTAGCGCACATTATTTTGTAATAACCAATGGCCTTTCTCATATGCCTTCTACGGTGTTAGAACCACCCTTGGGTTCTAGACCATGAGAGACTGTAAATCTGCATTTCCTAAAGCGAAAACCCAGTAGAAAAATTGTTGGGAGCTTAACAGGGCAAATGTTTTTAACCGCGGCAGCTGGGATACTGTTCCGTTGGATGGCTTCATGTAATTATCCCTGCTAGTGGATCAGTTTCGCCTTTTCTTCATTATCCTAGCCATGGATTGGGACAGTAATTTTGGTCTCAAAGACTATAGTGTCATTCAGCCATGCACTCTTATTCCAATAACTTCACATGCAACAGATAAAATGAACTGGGACAAAACTTACCAAAAGCTTGGTATTTGCCTACAAAGACAAAGCTCTCTCCGAAAACCTGGATAATACAAAATCATACAAGCACAGTTGTCATCATCTTGCCTTTACATCATGCAACCCTATTCACGCCCAGGGTGCCTGAAGTGAATCTCATCTTGCAGTTCATTTGCAATCGCATCCACAGAGCCATCGCTTTGTCATCTGAAATAGCAGGCGAATACGAAATATGAGCTGTAATATTTCCTGTTTCAATGATGGGTGATGCGTGTTCTTAGTAGTCCCAACACAATAGTATGCTTGATATATTTCAACTAACCTGGCACTATTAAGTAGACTATCATACAAATAGAAACCAACATTCAACTTTTCGGATCTCTGGGGAGTGTATGCAAATATACACGATGTAACAGGGCTGTAGAATTCACCACACACGCAGGTCAAAATAATGGACAGGTGACACACTATACAGGAGTAATCGCGGCTGAAATTCATATCGTCAGGTAATAATATCGAGACATGCAGGGTTATAAAAAGTCCTCGGGCCATGCTTGCGACACAATTGAGCGGAATACCTGTTGTGATGCCAGCAGTCGCGTTTGGCAAGTGAAAGCACATAAACACGAGAACACATGAAAGGTCACTAGTAAACAGGCTAGTAAAGTGCGGAACTATACAACAATGTTCAAGTGTCTGTCTGAGTTAGTCCCAATCCGTGCCGATATATTCGCAGAAAATTGTGGTGTTAATTTGTAGCAATAGTGTCTAATTTGTCACATTGCCGCTAACCATATTTAGATACACGTGTTGCACTGATCTTATTTTAAGTGGCAATCACATGCTGATATCCGAAATTTTCACATTGACGTCATAATCCGAACGCAGCACTAGTCACTTCCTCAGGTGTTTTAATTCTGCAAGATACACTAATATTCGTCTTTCATCTGTGCAGATTTTCAAGAGATATCGATTCAGCAGATCTCACGATTCCAATGAATTTGCGCATACTTCTTATCACGGTGGCTGATTTGGTTTCATCCCTCGTCCTCATCGCTATCTCCATACCATGGTTCTTGCTGGTGCTCATTCCCATCTCCGCAGCGTTTACTGGCGTATATGTGCTCTACGTACGAACAAATCGGCAACTCAAACGAATTGATTCGGTTCGTCGGTCACCCATATTTTCACACTTTCAAGAAACACTGATGGGGGCAGCGTCGATTCGAGCTTACAACCGCGTCCAACAGTTCACTGGTAAACTTCTCTTGAGAATTTGGTCCTTACTGGTATACTGTGTGTATCAATATGCAGACCACTTCAAAATTAAACCGTTCATGGCTCGCTTTTCCAAGCAAAAAGAAGCTGCTCTGAAATTCCAAGAAGCATTCCATCACTATTATATTCGCACTAGGATTCATCCAAAGTGTGTTCTAAAAATCTCGGTAACGTTTTGAAACCACATATTTCTATCAGTTAGCTACTAATGGACAGCCAGAATCCCTTACAAGGTTTGTTGAGTGCGCTCAGTTGATTTTCAACAAAGATGAAACAGCTGTACACTGTTTCACGCCATTTTAGGATAGACTGACTCGTTGACAAGATAAAGCTAACAAATGTGATCCACTATGTGACTTAAAAATCCTGATCGTGGCACAACACATCAAGTTTCCCCGAAGTCCCCTCGTATTTGAGTAAGATTCCGTTTCAACGACAAACTTGAGAAGCAACAGTTCATTAACATGCTTGAAAAGGTGAGAGCTCCTGGAATAGTTGAAAGCAGTGTGTATTCTACATCTCGGCAACCTTCGCTAGATAAAACTGATGTTCTGCAGCATAGTCTCTCGAAACCTGGGATTCTATTTTGATTTGATCAGGTTGTCTTTTATATTTCCCATCCAGATGAACCGTCGACCCTGATTAGGTCATCTTAACCGAATACTGTAGATCAAAAATCCTCAGCTAGCACTGTTAATGTTCCAGTTCCCCGCTTAAAAGACCAGTGATTCTTAAACACAACAGAATAATACGGAAGAGAATGTAGCGGCCATGAAATCCCCAGGTTTTGTAGGACGGTAGCTGTGGAAATACCGGTTAACAGTCCGATGCGCATGCTGTTTGAAGCGCTTTACACATCTTAACACTAGCTCACCCACACAGACTGACAGAAGGTTCAAACGAAGTTCAAGAAGAGTACTATCAAAGAGTACTATCAAAACCAAAGGGGACACTTAATGCAATGGAAAAGACAAATGTAATCTACAAAATTCAATGCAATGATTGTGAAAAACACTACGTGGGACAAACAGGGAGGAAACTGTCAACCAGAATAACCGAACATAAGCTCGCCACCAAGAGACATGACCAACTCTCTCTCATCTCTGCACACGAAGATGAGGAAGGACACCATTTCGATTGGAATAACGTCAGAATACTGGGCCAAGCAAGAACAAAGAAAGAACGCGAGTTCATGGAGGCCTGGTACTCCACTGATGGAGCAATAAACAGGCGCATTCTGACGAATTCTTCTTTTTTTTGTTCATTAACCAGCAGACTCTGCGTGCCGTCAGTGGCACATGTGTGGCCAAAACCTCAAGATGCGTTTCAACACTTCTAAGCTGATTAGCTAATTTATATAGGGTGAGATCGTAACGAGTTAGCGCATATTTAGCACGCACCAATATTCCTGCTGTATTACACAGGCAAATGCATTGGATCCAAACACGCTTACAATGCCGAGAAAACCAGTGAAAGCGTTTAAATATGACAAAGCGCTTTGAGACTCTACAAAATAGTCGCCGTTAATGCCTTTAGGATCAACTTTGTAAAATTGTCAATGGAGACTGAAAGCATAGTTGAAATTCGTTATATGACTAAAAATTCACGCACAGCGTACATAGCCAATTATTAAACCAATAATGTAAGCGACATTTAGGCGTATAATGGATGTTCCGAAGACCTATCAGCTGAGTTTGTCTGATTGCTTGCTTCAGATGCAGGGTTTGTCCAAATGGCTAACGACAGCGGCCTGCAGGTCCCGACTGATTCAACTACTCTAAACCACTCTGACTAGTTGCCAATTAAAGTTAACTAGGGGACCAACGGAAGCCCGCTTAGCTATCCTGTTCGTACTATACTTCAACTTAATGTACTGCGTAAAAGACGCCTGATATTTAAGTTCATATAAAGTGATTTCCTTGAAATGATAATAAGTATATGGTTAATGAAACTCTATGAAGAGCTAACTACCGGTTTCACCTTACTTGGCGCTTATTAGTTAGGCCTTGTACATGGATTACTACCAGACTTACTTTGATTATGAACAACAAAGAGCGTTCGTAAAAATAAGCACTAATTCGCAAAGCAGATTTACGTAGCCAGGGCACCCAAATGCGTTTCACATAGATCACTCTAATTCAGTGTGGTTTTTCCTCCGTTTTTATCTAGCCCACTAATATATTTTTATCAGTGGCTTTGGATACGTAGTAAACCATCGGTGATATCCCTAGAAGCTTGATTTTTGTCATTAGCTATCTGTGGATGGCCTATTCTATCGCGGCCGTCACATGTCTGAACTGCTGATTCCATGCACCGTTACACTGGTTAGCTTACACCTGCATTCAAGAAATATAGAGTATTCCACACAGTTGGTTCCACCACAGTCCACTGTTCACAGTTTTAATTTTTTCATTTAGAATAGGCTAAACACTTTGGCGATTGGTTCGTCTGTATTTTATCACACTTACTGAATTATCGTCGAATCACATAGGAATAAAGAAGATGACTAATAATAACATTGAATGTGCCCTCTACTTTCACTCATTAGACAAGTGTCTTAACCGTAAAACGCCACCATGGTATCACACCTGAGACCTTCGACTCCGACTTTGCCCAAGTGTCTATAGGTGATCGCTCTCAGTGCTATCCATGAGCGGACCATAAATCCTGGCTACAAACGGGCGGATACGTAAGTGTCTTACAAAACCATTTGAAACTGGAAAGCCACCGTCCGAATATGGAAAAATTCGTCCTTACTCTTTCTTCTGACTATCTTGCGGCCAATTCAGACGGAATAACTACCCGTAGGTAGCCATTTTTTCATTATCCTATAGAGATATTTCTGCAGAAGAGCCCTACAAACCAATGCGTATGCGCTGTGATGCCATTTTGGTGTTGGAATAATTTTTCGCACATTTCAGTTATACTGCCAGTGTTGGATACAACCAGGGATGCCTGGAGTTGCCTTACACACTTACTCGGTAGCCATTTTGAGATGAGCTGTATAACAAGAACTCTCCATGCTGTTTCCCACTACAACAACTGCCTTCGGTTGATAATTTGCATCAGTCTACTTTTGCTGACGACTTAGTCTGAGTTGTTAGCGGCTGACTGTATGATCTACCCCTCAATAATCCTGCAGAAAAATGTGACAGTTTGCTCGATGAAAGTCAGATGGCTCGATACCCCAGTCTGGTTTGCTACCGTTGGCTGGGAGTGGTTGTCGAGTTTGTGGGGCATTTTATCACGCTCTTCGTGGGCCTTTTTGTCGTTGGCACCCGTGCTTCCATTGGGTCTGGTTTTGCTGGACTAGCAATCACATTCACACTGAGAATTTCGAACTCGTTAACCTTCATCATCCGAACCTTGGCGGATTTGGAAGCAGAGTTCGTATCTGTGGAAAGGATAATCGAATACACCAAGGTTCCTCAAGAGGTGAGTTCATACATCCAGACGGTCACTACTCCTCTACACTTGCACTATGATTTTGACTATTTTGTTTTTAAGTGAACAAAGTTTGTAACATCAGCGAAAGACAGGGGGAAAACCTGTCCAAACATAAGCTTTTGGTCTATTATCCAATGAAACAAAAGACGATCAAAGTGCAACACATTTATGCATGAAATTGCCAGATTTTCTATTCTGTTCACTTCTCACGGTAGCGCTGATAACCGTTCCTTAATATATGGGAACATTAGACCGTATGCGAAGCAACAACACATAATCTATTCTCTGTTTGTTCCCTTATGAATATAACTAAGATGGCTTTCAGTGAGAGGTTATTTTGGTGGTACCGCCATGGTTTTGGCTTTGAACTGATGATTTTTTAAACACCACCCCCACCAGTTCCTACCAGGCTTAACCTTCGTGCTCTTCAGGGCAAACGTTCTCTATCAACACTCGTGCAACGGATTTTCTTATAGCTTGGACCAGGTGCATGTCTGACTAACGGTATCAGAAGCAAGTTTGTTTCCTAAGTGGATGGCAGCCTCAAAACATTATTTTTATCAGCATGGTATGATACATTGATCTACTTTTGGAAATTCTACCTAAATAGTCCCCTCTGGGAAGGCATACACGTAAGTATGCACTTCAAGTGATAAGCCAGAATTAGCTTCTTTTGAGTAACGGTCTCACTAGAACGCTGGACCCGTATACAGTAGTCTGCCTGGGGGGGGGCAAAACAACCTACTGTTGTTAAGATGAATATATTATATCCCACTATTAGGGACATCCCTACCAACTCCCGGATTGCGGGTTAAATTCTGTGTGATATCCCAATAACAGGGTCCCTGTCGAATGAGGCCGAATCTTGTGTCTCCAGAGGAGCACATTTTTTCCAAAGTGTGTTTCGTGACGCCGTTCAAAACTCAAATCTGGGACGTGAGGTTTGTCGTCCGCTTCATAATGTTGATGAATCTGAGCTTAAAGTTCAATTAAACTCCTTTCCTTTGAAAATTAGACCATTGAGATTGCTGGGAATTCTCCTTACAGCCATCAAGGTCTTCCCAAAAGAGACCACTTCTCAAGAATTACCTGTCTTGCTTGGTTTCTCCAGAGGGATAAACTGCGGTTTTGATGTCGCTGACGGAAAGCTATAAACTCTGTTAATTCACAACTTTGGGTTGATCTTTTAAGTTAGTCTAGACCATCGGAGACTTCCACTTATCCGCTTGATGATAATTTCACTCTATCTAAAAGCAAACTACTTCTACAGGGGATACAGCTACCTGGAACCCAACGCGGTCTGCAACCACTGCACTATCATAAAAGTTTCAGTCCGTGGTGCCAAATGTGTAATGGAACCGAGTGGGTTAAGACACTGTTAGGGAGCATTGGTGTCAGTTAGCAGGAATTCATCTTGCAACAGTGCCTTTTCAGTTTCAAGCACTTTAATGGGTGCCACGGTTATCCAGTAATGTTGTGGTCCTTGAGAAACGAAGTGACTAAGACAGGCCTTTGTCTTCTTAAAAGGCAACTCACCTAAATAGTTGTCACGTCCGCTCACCAGCCTTATTTCTCTTTGCACCTAAACATCATCCCTTTGCTGCAAACATGAAATCAAAACACTCCAACGGCACAAAGCCTTTTTTGAACCGCGTAACTTGAACAGTGTGATGTTATCTGAAAATAGCACCAGTCAGGGATTGTGGCAATGATGTCACTAAATGATACCTATTCCCTATGGTGTCAAAATGCTACTCAATATCATACTGGACAATAATACTTTGGTGACTGCAAAAGAATTACCAACCAGTTCACACAACTGTCTTGGGACACTTCCAGTGGCGAAGAATTACGCCACCTACTCTGTTTCATTAAATCACAAATAATTCCTCATGATTGTGCTTTTTGTCTCCATTACCGGACATCTTATATACGAGTGTTGCGGTTCATGTCATAACATTTCCCCAGAAATAAATTTAGAAATAACTAAGAAGAAACCCTACATGCTAGCCAAGGTGACATGAAAAGGTCACTTGAATATTTGGCATCTTGCTACTTATGGATTCTTGAGTACTCACGTTAAAACGACACTTTCCTGGAACCTTTGTGCCGACATTTCGGTGCATCACTTATTGATTTTGAGTTCTTTTGTAGGGACCACAGTGAGCTTGGGTGCGATTCGTATTTTCCTACTGAACAATTTATGTGTCAAGGTTACTAAGTGAATAAGAATCTAGAGGAAGCCGCCATTTCATCCATGACCCTGATACTTTAGATGTGCTCTGTTAGGACAAACGTACCAATATGCAATTTTTTTCAGTCAGCACCAACAAGGGACCCAGAATGATATCTGTCCATCAGGCCCAAGTAGGTGAAGTGAAGGTGTACGGTATGACACAAACATACAATGCTTCTTTGTTTCAAAAATAAGTCGGATAGCCCCTGCGGTAACTGAACTTCATAAAAGTGCACTGTAGTCGAAAATCTACCTAGACCGTTTTAACAGGGAAGCTGCGTTTTGAGCGACAAATTGAAAATGTTACAGGTGTTTAGTTTTGGCGAATCGAACAGTGAAAGTTGTTCTGAGACAAATAATCTAACGCAGTTGCACACTTGGGCATACATACGAGCTATACCACCGCTACACGGTAAATTGCCGACGGAAATATTGCTTATGTCGGATCACCTGAGATCGCGGTGATGAATACGCCGGCAGAACTGACAAGATGTTTGAAGCACGTGTAACCACGCACGTGCCAGAGGAACTCGTACAATCTCAGGTGACCTCAAATTAAATCTGTTTGGAATTGAGGTCAGATGATCTTCCACCAAACAGTTTAACAGCTCAAATCCGTTCAGAATTACGGACTATTGCATGGAGCATGCGACCACAGACAGTTTCATTGAGATGCTATCATTCGCTCATTCTCAGCATAGGTATCTCACTATTAGCCTGAGATCGCTTAAATTTTACTGTGATGTAAATTGCGTTCTGAAGTACCTCATCTAATGCTCGTGTGCGCATTTTGTGGCAGAATAGATTGTGGAAGTGGGTTCATATCGCAACATTTTTGAGATTGGTGTGCTTTGAAAACTGCAACTGTGTTTGTAACACAAACGGTCCAAAACCATGCCGTCCGTCTTGCTTGAACCGGATATGTTAGATCATCATTGAACATCACGTTAAACCCTCCATGAGTGACAAAAGAAAAACTTTTCTCATCTCTAAGGCTTTGCCATTATCAGCCGTCAAGCATTAGCAGACAAAGGACTATGCACAGTAGAGCATTCTTAGATCTTAGCCATCCAGTAACAGTTTAGCTCCTCTTCAACGTATTGCACAATAAGTGGTTTATACTATTTTTCATGCCCATTCATCTCTGGCAATTAGTTTTAAACTGAACGGGTTGCCACCGGCTAGTTAGACTGAGCTTTCAAATAACAAAGCGGGATAGACTGTAACAACGCGCAACTCTGTGACAATGAGATCATTGTACAGAAAGTAAGGATAAAAGGACGTCAGGCACCAGTGCTTCGACCAAGTAAATCCTACCGGTCGGAGTAATGAAATGTTTCAGCTAATCCGCTTGTTAGTAGCATTACATCCGAAATTGAGACAGTCTGATTTTTGGGCTTTTTTCTTCTTGAAGGAATCCCTCTGTGCTCCAACTTTGAGATTATTCGATTTTTCAATTGTAAGAGTATTTTCATCCTGCAACTGAAACTTATTTGTGCTGAAAGGCTGTTTCGTCCAGTTTGGGAATCACCAGCACTGCGAGTTTCACGAACCTGCAGGAAGATTGAGGCCCGCGGCCACTTGGTTATTAGCTGATGGCTTAGCTTCTCGGCCAGCAGTGTAAGTTGCATTTACACAGGACATAACACCACTGTTCCTTCAACCGGATAATTCACACCACTCGGTCAGGTGTCCACTAACTTACTGAATTACAACTCGAATGGAAGGCTCACGCGACCTCCAGTATGGCTCCCTCTCTGAGCAGATAGCATACAGTTTGGTGGTGATATCAGTAGATTTGGAAATGTCAGTAGGTCCTGCTCGATCTTACCCCAGCATAAATCTAAAGGAGAAATAAGGGCTAACTCATTGAGCTTATACTTGAGTTCTGTGTAAAATTAGCATGTTCTAAAATTACGCCAGGTAAGCGGCAAAGACAGTTACGTAGCGATATATGTTATTCTACCACTGTCTTGATGTTCTAGGCTCCATGGACCCTTCCTTCCGGAAGCGCGTTGCCTCAGAATTGGCCTACCGCTGGTGAAGTTTTTTTTGATAAATACTCGACGCGCTACCGCCCGGGACTCGACTTGGTTCTCAGAAACATCAACTTTCATGTCAAAGGAGGAGAAAGAGTATGTTATCAGTTTATCCACAGGACTGAATTCATCGGATCATCAGGCCCCGCCCTCTAAGTGATCAAATATAAGCATTCTTTTGTGTTACATATTGGAGTCCGAATAAGAACCACAAAATGAAATAATTCCTAAATCTTAATATAGCGAATTAACTCTATTACTATTTGTTTACCTTGTGTTACGTCATTCCGTCTTCAAGCTGGTATAACTTCCATCCATCCTGCAAAGTTGTGAGAATCAAGTGACTGCCACCTTGACAATTACCTGGACCAAAATATCAGTCGGTTCAAGCTTATACTGATTCAACGCACTGGTGAAGTAGCTGTACAGGTACTATCAACTACTCAACATAATGGTCCACTGGTTTACTCATGTTGGCAGTAAAGACGCCTCGTACCCGTGCTGGTTCATCTGTGGTTGCTTTCTGGGGGGGGGGCATCCAAAAGGAATTTTTTTAAATCACTCCACTTAGTATGACATTATACATATGAAAAACCAGTTTATTTGTTAATACTAATGCTAGTGTTCAGTACTACTGGTGAAAGGAAGAAGGCCTTCGCTGCGGAGTTATTTATTCGGAAATGCCAACTGACCGGTTACAGACCGTTGAACAGGAAAGCAAAACTCTAATCTGCATCTTAGTTACAAAAACTGGACACAGATCTTCTCCCGAACGAATCTTCCTAGAGATTCGTTGCCTCCACTCATTCGTCGGTCAAATCCAAGCAAATGTTACAAAGTAGCCCCACGAATTCCGCAACAGAATTCCCTTTTTCAGTCGACGCAAAGCGAAATTCTATGAACAACACATACTACTCGCGTGCCTCCCGATCAGTAGTATCACCGTTACACTGGTATAAAAAACAGAACACAATTTCTATCTCATTTAAAAAATTCCTGTCTAAGGAGCTCGGTGGATAAGGCAAAAAATCACCGACCGGAAGGTTCGTGGTTCGGAACTAACCCTGGTATCTGGACTGCTTCTGTCCAGATTTGGGCAACCTGGAATTTTCTCAGCCTTAATGATTTGAGTGGAATGACAACCATGAACCGAAAGGTATTACAGCTGAACTATAATCAAACTATAATGAAGCCCTTCGGACATGTAATTAAAGTGGAAGAAAGTAATAAATACTGCAATCAGGGTCAATCAGTGTGTGTTTTCCATGTTAGTTACGATTAGAACAATCCCCTAATTTATTTGGATAGTTTTTTGTGGTTGCGCGTAATTAAGACACTTCCACGCGTTTTTTCTCAATTACTTCTATAGGTTGGTATAGTTGGAAGAACGGGAGCTGGGAAATCGTCGCTGACTGGTGCTCTTTTCCGCCTAATTGAATCGGTTGACGGTCGAATCCTCATTGACGGGTTGGACATACGTCAAATGGGACTCCATGATGTCCGAAAGAATCTAACCATAATCCCACAGGTCAGAAATCCCATTTCCACTCGAATTTGGCAGAAGTGGGCCAACCGGTGCCACAAAAATTTCGGTTCAATGTAATTTTATCTTATTTGTGTAACTGCGTGATAACTGGTCATTCATATATGGCCATCACGTATAGAATATTCTTCAACTTGAGTCTACATGGTCGATCGGATAAGATTGTTGACCAGCATTTTGGCGGGGTTCCATTTTTTGAGCTCGACCCTTAAGGGGACACCCTCAAATCAGCTGTGGTTCCCCTTCTTATAAACAATTTGTTCCATAAGTCAACAGATAAATGCATCTTCTTTTCACCAATGCAATTAAACCTTTTGCGGTGCCAAAATCACCCGCTCCAGAGGCAAGCTATATTGCAACAACCACAAGCATATTTTGAATTCTGAAATCAAAGTAAATATCTTCACTCCCCCCGTTTTTCTGATAACATTACGTCTACATTACAGTAACCAACTTGGTTGTTGAGTGCCATGACCTATACTGAAGAACGGTGGTCTGATGCACTTTATCTCCCTGTGAATCTCACTTTCTATCCTCTTCATTAGTGGTATGCGTGGCAAACACCGTCATTAACTGGACTATTCAGTTACTGCTAAAGGCTTCGGTAAACGCTTGGTAAATATAGAATGACTGGCCTAATTATACGACTCCGATTTTTCCCTTATACGGTGCTGCGTAGCGATTGATAACCCAGCCATTTGGAACAGATCGGGAAGTCATCTTTTTAGAGGCAGTGGGTACACAATCGGCAGAATACACCAGATGCACCCTTCCACAAACTGATTTCTTCTTAACGGGAAACTCAA